TTTGCTTACCTGTTTTACTTTTGTGCTTTCTTATTGACCCTGGCTCTCATGCAAGCAGATTTGATTTATTCCAGTGCTGTTTACTCACATTGGAGTTTTTTCCTTGCTAAGTGAGCTATGTAAAATTAACTCATGTGGAGGCAATATTCTTAATGAGGACAGGTATCAACCTGACTACCTGACTCTTCCCAATAACAAAGTTACTCCCAACCTATAGGGAGAACCTGCAATTGTTTTCTGTTAGGGACATTTTGTATGTAAGAGAGAATTTGCCTGGCCTTGCACCATCACATTTTGGGTGCTCACCAAAGCTCTGTTTGAACATGAGGCGATTCCCTAGCAAAACAGGGCCAAGAAACACTTAGAAAGAAAGGAAAATGAAAAAAAAAAAAAAAAAAAAAAGTGATTAAATTGTAATAAGAAACGTTACTTGCAACCACCAGACAAAAGGGGTTCATGGAATCCCTGCAGAGAAATGCAGGAAGTCCACATTCCCATGCCTAGCTGCTGCAGTTATATACCCACTGTAATGTATCTGCATGTGGGAAGATGTGGGCTTTCCAGCATTTTTAGCAGCTGAGTGGTGTTTTCTTTCTTCTCCAGCTCCCTGGGCTCCGAAATGGAAGCAGCGGGCTGCCTGCATCAGGCAAGCTGCTAGAGGTCAGCTGAAATGTTTACACCACCGGAGTGCATCTTTGTGTATCTACCTCCTGCTGAGCTCCCGCCCTGTGCAGGACAGCGTGATGATCCCCAGGCTGAAACTGAGGAATGGTCAGGCAGACATCACAGAAATTAACACTGCACTCTTAACTTCAGTTTGGTGCATACGGGATGAGGGGATTCCAGCCTGTGTCTGTCACTTAATCGAGCACTTGGCATGCAGTTAATTATGTTTGCCTTTCCCCTTCAGCACCCACTAACGCCCAGCAAAGGCCGCGGCGGCTCAGATCAGGAATTTGAGTGCAGCAACTGAGACATCCTTCATCTCTGAGCCAGGCAAGTGGAGCTGGCAGCTGGAGGAGAGGGAGGGAGGGTGCCTTCCCCTGCAGCAACCGCTGCTGTAAACAGCTCTATGGGAGAGCTGCCTGCTCCCAACACCCCATGGGACTACAGCACAATGTAGTTAGAGCTCAGACAACATCTAAACACAGAATGGACATCAGCAATTTATACCTTTGCTGCTAGTCCCAGCCCTCTTAGTAGGAAGCAATTAGACACATTGCTACTGGTAACACAAACAGCCCAGAATAGGCTTAGGAAATAGAGCTGCCCAAAGCAAAAAATACCTCCAAAACTTCTCATTAGAAATGCTCTAGAGAGTTGTTTTAAAAACAGTTGGTGGGGGCAGAGGATGAATGAAAAGGATTCTGCTGGGAAAAGCCTAAATTAGTATACAATTGTTTGACCAAAAAAAAAAAAAAAACCCCTAAAAAAACTCCAAAACAATATTTTCAAGTTAATATTCCTAGGAATCAGGAGTCTCCAGTAACACCTCCAGTGAGTTGGCCCTTCTTAAGTCCTTCAACCCTCTGGATAAGAAACTTTTTCTCAAAAAAAGGCCAAGCTGTGGCTGCTGGTGTAATCTGAGAAGGACAGGGCTGCAGGCTTTCCACCCACCCTTCCCCGCACAGTGGTTTATCCATGCTGCTCACATGCTCCTACGCAGCAGGACCGCTGTTCTCTGAGAACAACCAGCTCCTTCCCTGAACAACACCTTAAAAGGGCCTGGTTTGCCCATTTCTCTCTTAGCATCTCAGCTCAAGCATCACATACAACTGATCTGCTTCAAGCACGTGTTAATGCTTAGACCTGAAGTGCCAACAGGGCACAGCATTCAGCTGGGCAAGCTTTAGGATCCCAGCTATGTTTCCAGGCTTGAGTCCCAAGGCATACAGCCCAGATGCCAGATATGTGCTGTGCTTTGCCAGTTTGTTTCCACTATCGCCTCTCTCCCTGTTTAACACCAGCTCAAGGCTGACAGCAATTCACATCAGTGTAACATTAGCTCTAAAACGGCAGGCATAATTTCATCCCCATGTGGAGCAGCACCACAGTTCAAATGTTCTATGGCACAAAGCAAACAGCATCACACTCACGGGAAACCACCTGGAAGGTCAGCTAAGGACTGCACTCCCTGCAGCCCGAGTCCTGCTTTGAAGCGAGAACAAGACAACCCTGTTTCCTTGGAAGACGTGGCAGAAATCGGTGCGCGATGGAAAGAAACAAGATCTGACAACACATCATCAAAAATCCACTAACGAGGGAGTGGTTTGCTTTGTTTCTTTTTTAATTGTTTTTAAATATCACTTTTTTTTTTTTTTTTTTTTTTCTTTCTTTCCAGAAGTCATTATGTCCGACTCCATTAACATTCAGGTAAACAAATGAAAGAACAACAGATGGGCACGATCTCATAGCACAGGCACAGCCGCCACAAGCAGGGCTCTCCGTCCCTCTCTGCACCAGCACAGGCGATGGCTGCAGGACAGCCGTGCTTCAAATGCAGCAAGGAGTCCAAGCCAGGACAAGACAGAAAGGTGGTTGCTGGATCGCATGCTTGACCTCCTCCCTCGCTGCTCCTCTGATGGCACAGAGCAGCAGGCTGTGGGAGCTGCAAGGACTCTACCAGACCATCCGTACAAACAGCCCCAAGATGGAAGGCAGCAGAGGGCTTTGGGGCCTATTTCCCTATTTCAGGTCACTTTAGAAGCCCCTTAGGCATGCATGCCATTGCCACAACCCCAACCCTGAATTTCAACAGTCACACGTTCTGCAATACACATTAGCTCCCCCGGAGATGCAACCCCATTCACTCTTCAGCTCCATTCCAACCACATCCCCAGCCTGCCGCCCCCTCCCTGAGGCTGCTAAAGCCCACGCTGCTGAAGCCTGGTTCACAAAGCATCCTGGTGTTAAGGTTAACTGGTTGTAAAATTGCAGCGGTTCATCACACTATGCACACTATGAGAAATGTTTATTAAATTGATTTCTGTTTTGTTTCTTTAAAAAAAAAAAAAGGCAAAAAGAAATTGTTAAACACACTGCTTTGTGGCATGCTCCACAGTATGAAAAAATCCCAAGCATTCAGTTGAGCTGTCAGCAGCTCTGTTTGACTTTTCCATGTGGTCTTTGAACTCAGACCTGGACAGTTCACTCACCTCCTCCCCACAGCCTCCCTCCTCCCTCTCACTCGGCTTGCAGCTTGCTGCCTCTTGCTTCAGAAAGATGCTTCTTTGGAGAGGGAGGGTTTGTATGGATCACCCACAATTTCATCTGCAACCCCTCTGGGTCAAACCGTACAATTGAACATGGGGACTCTCAGCTGAACTCCAAAGAAAGCGCACCCCTCTCCCCACAGAACTCCTTCAGCCCCTCCCGTGACATCCCCATCAGCACCCACAAGGACAGGAGGCAGCACATGGTCTGAGCAGACATCCTGCTGCTCTCTCTGCTCCCACAGCCCCAACTCCCTCAGCGAGCACCGCTTTTCTCCCAGTTGCTCCTGCACGGGACAGCCCGGATCCCTGAAGCTACACCATCCAAGGACGTGCCTGACCTGCATCGAGTTCTCTGCAGGGAGACCCAGTCCATCTTCAAACAGAGCTGCAGCTACTTACACAGCGTCAACTGAATACTGAACAATATCAAAAACACGGTACAAGGAAAGAAAACAGAATTTAAATGCTTAATGGCATATTTATACACATTTATCAACAGTCAACGAAAAAGGCGGCGAGTTACACATCCATTCTGTATGCTGACAATCCTGATGCACATATATGTAAACACACATGCTTGGCCAATGCATACATCTATAGCCACAGAGTAGATGACCTGAAGGAGCTATGCTGGGGAGCCTGGAAGGGGTTACCTACTGCAAACCCGAGCCTCATTCTCCACGTGCACAAAGTGGACATTCAGGGCAGTGTTGCTTTAAGGCTGTTTCTAAGGCTGAATCTTTTCTCCTCCAAACCCCCTCAAAACAAAGGTCTGTTGAAGCACATCCTCCTCTTACCTAGCGCAATTTTATATATTTTTCTCCCTCTATATAATTCTTAAAGGCCCTATATACCAAAAGGCAGGAATGGGAAGGGGGTGAGAGAAAGGGGAGAAAAACCACTGCAGGGATCAGCTTGCCCCACTGCAGGAATTTCCTGTTCCATTTTGGCACCCACGTGCCACAGACAAGGTGCTCATACTGACCACATTTCTCTCTCCTCATCTGATTTGGAGCTCCTCCCCACTACCTGAAGGTAAGGGGAGAGTGAAATCCTCAAAGAAACAGAAATATTCCTGAGGTGAGGAAGGCGACTGCAAGTTTTACATCTTCCCCTTTCCTGCTTCAATGTGGCAAAGAGCTGAGAGATGCTAAGATTTCCAGCTCAGGTGCCCATTTGGACTAAGGAAAAAGCTTTGCTTAAAAATATATATCTATAGAACTATACACATAGATCATCTTTTTAGAGACACTCTGATTTTATTACATAGATCCTGGGTCACTCTTCCCCTCTATGTACACGGTAAGAGTGGCATACAACAGAAGCCACATACATCTAATTGGCAACCAGCGCTTACCAGAGCACAGGAAAGTATTTGACTGGTGCAATAATCCTGAATTCCCTTGTTCTGGTAAGCTGATCTCTAGGTACTGTTACTGAAAATGAAAGGTCTTAAGAGAGAAACAATTTTTAAAATTCTTTTGCCAAAATCAGGCTATGAAATTTTCCCAGCAATGCTACAGAGTGCCACAATATACTTGAAGCGGGGAAAATTTCACCGAGCAAAAGAGTGATGCAAAGATGAAATCTTAAAGCGTATATGTATACAGCTGGGAACCCCTGCAGTGTGTAAATGTAGAATTTTTAAGGTTAAGGACTTTTTTTTTTCTTCTTTTTTAAAAAATCTTGCTTTTTTTTCCCTCCCCCCTTCCCCATAATCATTTGTATCTAAGCATCAGTTGGAAAGCTCTGTACAACGCTAGATTCACTCCAGAAATTTATGTCTATAAACATTCAGTGAGGTTTAAAAAAAGAAAAAAAAAAAAAAAAAAAAATAGAACAACTTAGTTTTCAGGATGTTCTGTTAGAAGAACCGGGACTCAATTCATCCCCAGCCACTGACCCTTCAACGTGACAGATCGCTGGAAATGAGCCAATTTATAAAGTCAGAGCTTACAGAAAAACTAACAAGAAAAAAAAAAAAAAGAAAAAAAAAACAACTATAAAGATCATCTACCTTCAGAGAGTAAAAAAATGTCAGTGTGACCTGTGGTAAGAGATTACCTAGCGATGCAAACAGATCTGAGAGGAGCATTCACCTCCATCTCGCCAGGACACATCGCACCCGGCCAACTGGGTCTGCTCCCCTTCCTCTCTCCTGGCCTTCCCAGACAACAGTGTGGAAATGCTGGGAATTAGGATGATGGTAGGAAAAGAAAACAAATGACCAAAAAAGCTAAATCCAGCTTCAGCATCGAACTATGCATATATAAAAATAATAATAACAATAAAAAAAAAACAGTCTGTACTGAAATAGTAAAAAGCAAGGCAAAGATTTCTGATAACAGGCTGCAGCCTTCTCCTCTGTACATCCTCCACCACTGTTATTTCTGAATTTTGGGGCTGGGGAAGGGGGAGGAAGGATTAGATCTGCTACAGCAGCTTTCCCTATCACACAAAAGTGATGTGTAACTAACTGAGCCACAAGGATACGGGAAAGTTTTATTTATTTAAAAAAAAAAAAAAAAAAAAAAAAAGTACTTCAAAATAAAAATGATAAGTACTGTATGGTAATATTGGAAGTATTTATGTACATTTTTTTCTTTGTCTTTTGTTGAAATGTCTCCTGGTCACTTGGTGGCACTTGGGGTCCCCTCCAGCGCCGTCTGCCCTGCTCCCCCCTTCCCCTCCCCGCTCTCACGCCTCAGTAGACGGAGCTGTTCCTTATGCCGCAGCACAGCACCATGCTCAGGATCATTTCGAAGATCTGTCAGGAGACACAAAGCCACCAGTGAGGTGCTGATCCCCAAGACATGGGAGCTCCCCTCTCTTGAAGCTAGGGATTAAGACATTCTCACGTTCCACACCCTCCAAGTAAACACTCTCATGCCAAAGATAAGGCAGAGATGTTTTTGCTGCCATTTCTTCAAGGATCTGGCCAATTTGAGATAAGATCCCAAGTGCCACTGAACACCAGGGAGAAGATTCCTTCCTGCTGCAGGACCCCAGAGGCCAGGCACCACAGCAGGAGGAAGGACCAGCATTGGAGGCAGTGAGGATGGATGAGCTCCAGCCCCCTACCTTTCCAGAAGGGCCTGCGTGTGGTCCTGCTTCACCCCACTGCCTGGGCACCACCCCAACAAGATATTGGGGGCACGAAGCCTGCAGTCCTGCTGCATACCAGAGCAGCTGCGGTGCAGAGGGCTCTGGTCTGCTGGGTGGGGGTCCAGCTTCCCACTTCCCATCCCAACTGCGGTGATGCTTACCATGATGACAGCAACCACGATGGCAGCGATACCGATCAGGTACAGCTTCCCAGAGAAGAGCTCGTCAATCTTTTTGTGGCAGCTTGCATCAGCCTGAAGCAGAGAACCAACACGGTCAGCACCTGCTGTCCTCCCACCTTCCCCAGATATCCAAAAAAGCACTCTGAGGTCCCCGCTTTCCCCTTGTCCCACTCATGTTTATGGGTCCTGGCTCTAGGACTCCCCACTGGATGCGAGCTCCTCAAGCAGGAGCACCACAGGAAGTATCAACAGGAACCTGATGTCCCTCTACACAATCTCCAAATAAACAACAGCTCTACCCTGTATCCAGATCCCAAATAAAGCCTCAGCTTTCTGTGGCAGCGCTAAGGGCAGAGTAGCCAGTCCTACCTGCAGCAAGCCTTTCAGGAAGTCCTTCGAGCACAGGTCATCTCTCCACAGAGGAGTGAGTGTTCCAACCACAGCATCAGGACCACAGCAGTCCAACTGCAAAGAGAAGGAAAAAACAGGTTAGAAGAGAGCAATCCCTCTCCTCACCACTAAACATCTTCAAAAGCCACCCAAGACTTTGGAGGCATCTTGGATGTGTGTGAGGAGCAGGGGGGGGAAGGGGAGGAAGGCAAGAGGAAGAAACAACTTTCCAAATTCAACTTTTTTCTTCACATGCAGGGCAGCTGCTTCCTACAGTGATCCCAGACATGTCTGGCCTCATATCCTGGAGGAGAATGAATACAGCTCTCTCCAGAAATTTACTTCCTGCTGAGCAGAGGAAGTCTCAAATGTAGCCGCTCAGAGCAACGTTTGTCTTCCACTGAGTTTTACTTGATTTAGAGTGCTGAGGTAAATTAAAAGCAGTTTTGTTAAAGCTCAGGCCACACTTCTTCACACAGTGTGAAGGACAGAACATATAAGAAGGTGCAGCTCTGTTACTCAGCATTTAAGAAGAGGTAGCCTTACAGGCTAGGGCCTGAATGAACTATCATCTGCTTTGGACACTGCTTTTCCTATCCATTTTCCTGACCACAGTTTCTCCTCCTTCCTCCCACATTCTCATTTCCTCTGGCTGCAAGGAAATTCCTACGCAGAGGAGCTTTTTTTTTTTTTTCTTTTTTCCATAGAGCTTGGAAAGCAGGCAGCAAAAGCCTAGCAAGAACAGACTTGCTTCACCTCAATCCTAACCACTAATAACGCAGTGCTGTCCTCACTCCCTGCTCCGCAGGTGAATTTAATGTCTCTTTTTCCTTGGGGAGCAGTTTAAGTACAGTGTGGCACAATAGACCCCATTCCCCAGCAGCTGCCTCGACCAACTGTGTGCAGCTGGAGCCTCACCGTTTCATGGAAAGTCCTCACCACAGCCTTCCCGTTGTTCGAGTCTGAATCTGCCATGAGCGCCTGTTGGAACGCTTGGTCGTAGAACTGCTTCACGTCTTTGGCTATCTAAGAAAGACCAGAAAAACTTCCTTTCAGCCTGAGAATAAGGAAACCCACCCAGCAGCTTCCCCTAGACAGCACTTACAGGCAGACATGCTGTTTTAATAGGTTTGGACCCTTTTTATTATGGACAAAGCCTTGTCTATCATGGGGCACGAAGTCCCCATCCTGTAATGGCTGCTGGAGAATTAACAGCCATGCCCCAGCTCAGCCAGCTGGCCCGGTGGACTGCACACACCCACCAGCATCTGCTCTGCCAAGCAAGAAAAAAAGAAGACCAGGAAAAAAAGCCCCATTCATTTTCAGGGAAATTGACCTCATGGCTTATCCTCCAACACTTACCAATAATTTGGGAGGGCAATGAAAGGAGGACAGGCAAAAGAAAAAAATATGGGCAAGTATGGGAAAGGAAAGCACTTTCCAGAACACCTGTTTTTGCAGCATGTGATGGATTAGCACACAAATAAAGGGACTGTAGCAAAAAGCAATGCCATATCAATCACTTATCCCAGCATTTTTTCATAATTACTCAAAAAGTTGGGTTTGGAGGGCAGTACTCCCCGATTATGGTACAGAGGTATGGAAAAAACAAAACAAAACAAATAATCGCTTCCTGATCCTGTAGCTAAAGCAGAACTAACATGGCAGGGCCAGAGACAGACTGCCTGTGGTCCCATGGAGGCATCTTGTGCCTGCTGCACTTGCTGTCCCCCAGGGTGCTGGCCCAGGCAGACTTTCTGCCTCGTCCTCCTGAGTGTCCCCTTGGTGCACCCATCTTTTCCTTCCCAGCCCACGAGATGCAATCACACAATACTGGGGTACAGCCAGCTGTCAGAGGCTTCCAAGCAGCTTGCTTATTGTGGCTGAAAAAGCCAACACACAGCTGCCCCACCCATTTCAAACAGTGAAATTCATTGTGAGCAACTGCAGTCATTGCTTTCACGTGGGCAAATCCTAAGTTTCTCCCATATCCTGAAGCTTTCCACCTGCATGCAGAGCAGCAGTCACAGCCCTCCTTACCCTGCCTCCAACTTGCTCTGCTGCTTCACTCATACATCTTGAGCTGCTCAGGATTCACAAACCAACATGTGCAAAGGTGAATTTGCTTGGGAACAGCACGCTGTCTGCACAGTAGTACATTTAGCCAGGGAGTTTATTCTGGTGAAGTCATGCTCTCGGTGTAAGGGTGTTTCCAACCACAGCCCTGAGCTATGTAAGAACTGAGCAGGCCCAACCTTCTGCCATGGCACGCATTATATGCAAACTCAAATTCGCTCCCCACCACTGGCAGCCAGGAGCTGTTTCTAACCCGGCCTTCGTGCCTGCACAGCCTCCCCATCCCACAGTCACAGGACAGGGAACTGCCTTACCTGGTCTTTGTTGACAAATCCCCAGATTCCAGCTGCAACCTCACAGGCAAACAGGATCACCAGGCAGGTGAAGAACTGTGGAGACAAAGTGGGAGGGGGACGCTTAAGCACAGCTGTACAGGCTGAAGAAGCAATAAGGTGGGAGGGGTGCACGGCAGGTTTTCTGATGGAGGAGACCCAAGCAAGGTCTGTCACACACTTATCCCAAACTCCTACAAGCTACCAGATGCTACTCCGTTCCCAAGCTCCATGCTGGCACAGCTGAGGAGAGATAACCAGAGCCCCTCTCCCCCCCCAGAGACAGCAGGCTCAAGGATGCCCCAGTATCACCAAGCCAATTGCTGCAGAAACTCTCAGCCAGTCTTCCCATCCTGCCCCAGGGTGGGAGTTGCCAGCGCAGGGTTAAAAGCACATTTTGGCTGCTGAGGAGCTGCAGGGCTTCAGGGGATGATTAACGGCCAGCTCTCTCGGCATTCTCAGCTCTGCAAAGCTACTGCAGTTTTTTGAATAAATATAAAAAGTGATGTCTTCCCACAGCCTCGCCCTGTTGTTGCAGCTCCCACACTCTTCCCTGTCACCACACCAAGCCTTCCTCCTCCTCCTTGTTTGCATCTCAGGAACATTTTGTGGTGGTCAATCCATCAGACTGGAATTGGGGTGCTGCAGAGCTCACACAGAACTCAGCGGGAGGGCTCACTTTCATGGTGGTACCCTTTGAGGAGGGGTGGCTTGTTCAGCCCAGATCAAGGGATCAAGCATTCTGCAGGCACAGTTCTGCCAGCTGCAAAGCACCGCCGGTACAGCTCTATACCATGGCACGTATGGAGGCGCTCCTGGCTGGGTGACGGAGGTCTCTTGGTCATTCCTACAGAGCACCCCAAGTATGCTGCCCTAAATGTCCTTCGAGCCCAGTGGGAGCTCTGGCCAGCAGGAAGGGCCATCAGAAAGCATCTCCAGCCTTTTCCTGGCAGGCCACAGCGTGAGCACATGCAAGCAGCACCCGGCAGCTCGAGCTGCTAATTTCAGCCAAAGCAGACAGCTTCCCCATTGGGCTGCAGGTACGTGGTACCATCTGCCCTCCTAATCCTCTTTCCAACTTCAAGAGGGTATGAGGGGTAATTCAGATTCTGTAATCATTCACGCTAACAAAAAAAAACAACCCAAAGCTGTCAGACCTTGCTGCAACCATCGCTGTCAGATTTGCGCAGGGGCTCCTCCTATTCCTGGTAGCACTGATAAAGCCTGCAGCAAAACCCTGCTCTTATCCACTAATGTACAAAAGTACTTTATAAAAGCTGATGAGAGCCCCCTCCTTAGAGCCCGTGTGGATACAGAAGCAACCTGGGGGTAAGTGATCTTCAAAGTAAAGGGAAGAAAGCTCTTGTTCCTTCTGTCCTATCAGGGTCTGCAATCATGGGTCACAGTCTTCCACACTGGTAGCATCTTGCAGCCAGCACCTCCCTGAGGCTTGCAGCCACTACCTGGCAATGTTACAAAGCCTGGCACCTGGTCTGAAGCTGAATTGCATGTGAGAACTTGCTGCAAGTACTTGCATGTCCCTCTCCGGAGGCACAAGTTTTTGGTGTGGCTGCACTTCGTGCAAATGAGCTCACACTGTGCCAGGAATCCGAGCTGCTGCCTGACATCAAGGACACCTGTACTTCTGCAGCACTGGGTTTCCCAGGATTTACCTTGACAATCTCACTAAGATATTGTGGGAAACCTTCGCTGTTTCCTAGTCCTCCTAACAGGCAAAAAACATTAAGATCTGGAATCTCCACAACAGCCTCCAAACCAAGATTGAAATGAGAAACGGCAGGGGATGTAGGGTAGGGAAGAAGTGGCACAGGGACCACTTGATGCCACATTGCTGGGCAGAAGCCAAAGCACCGAGCCTTACCGTCCCCAGAAGGCACTGTGACTCCTGGATTGCGCCGTAGCATCCCAGGAAGCCCACAAACATCATGACAGCACCAACAGCAATCAGGATGTAGATTCCTGCAAGGCAGAGCAAGAGGTAAGGATGTTAACATGGGATGATCTGTGGGAGCATCTCACTGTGGCCAGGCATGTTGGCTGCTTATTGCTGCTCATTACAGGTGTGCATAATTGAGTGCTGGGAGACAGAGGAGCAGAGGCAGCGGTGGACATGGCAGCAGCAAAGCCACTGCATCTCACACTGCTTGCTGCTCCACCAACACTGACATCCTCAGGTCCAAACCTCCACCCTACTATTCCTCCCATTAAAATAAAAGTTATTACTGTCAGCAAGCACCTTTGGGGTGTCTTTGCTCACAGAGATTCCCTCAGCCCGAGCCAACCCTCACTGTTCAGTGGGATGCTCGCACCCCAGCAAACCACACAGCACACGGGAGAAGTCAGACCTCAGAGTGTTCCAAGTAGGTAACACTGAACCTTTTAAAAGCAACCACCCCCAAAATTGCTTGATCAGTGTTAGGAAGAGGGCATAGCGGGGAAGACAAAGGCACTACAGCATCCTGAAAGCTGCAGTATAGGAATTCCCATGGCGCCCTATTTTAAATACTTAAGCAGAGGAAATAAAAATGATGAGTTAGCGTTATCTTTTTAAACAAGCAACAGGGCGTATGGTTTGTTTATATTATACATTACACAAATATTTATCCCACCACAAAACTAAGGGAAAAGCACTGCTTAAGCATCTCATTTAATACAATCTAGCGTTTGTTTTTTAGAGGCTCTTCCACAGTGAAGTTTTCTAAACTCTCACAGCAAACTTGCTTCTCAACTATTCCAATGCTGGGACACCAGACACAGGGCGCTGGGAAACCAAAGCTCCTTCACCAAGGAACCCAGAGCTGGGTCACCCAAGTGCTCTCAATGATCAAGTGCTGCCAGCTCAGTTACACATCACTTGGCTCCTGCTCCAGAAGTACTGCTTTCTCCTCACGTAGTCCATAGGTTTGGTGTATTTTAATTAACTAATATTCTTAAGTATTGTGGGTCTGCCATTTTGTAAATGGGTTCTATTTTCCATTCCGTAGCCATTTGTAATGGGCGTGCGTGACATGAGCGCTCTTACTGACCTCACTGCAAGTGAAGTTAAGCCAAGGTAAACCTTCTAAAAAGCAGATAGACAACAACCTTGATGTGTTTAAAACCCCAGTATGGATGTGACAGCCACAAGAAAGGGTCAACTTCAGCTCCCGATCCTTCCCTTTTAAAACAAAAGCCACTACCCTGCAAACACCCCAGCCCACCTGGACAGGGAAGTGTCCCCAGTACAGCCCCTCTGCTGGGACCCCACATCTCTCCCTTACTATATTTAGAGGCAGCAGGAGGGAGGAAGCCGGGCACAAGGGAAGAGCGGCACAATGGCAAGCTGACCCAGCAGGATGTCCCTGTCACGGTGACACAGACATCCTCACCACGATCCACTGGCTGCTACTTCCACTGCAGACAAGGGGGTAAGTCATTACCATGGCACAAAAGCCACCATTCCCACAGACCCTCCCAGTAGGAGGCAACAATGCAGATGTAGCGCTTCTGCAGAGCACGATGCTGCGGGGAGTCGACAGGCAGCTTCCCCACAGGGCTATAGAAGGCTGTATTCTTATATCCCTCAAAATGAACACTGAAGGCAACTTCCAGGCTGAGCAAGCATTGTCAGAACATCACTGGGAGAACAGAAGGGACTAGAGCCCCTTCCTGTGCTTCATTTAAGGGTCATGAAGGACAGCTACCTCACCACCATCCCCAGGTCCCACGCTGCCAAGACAGGGAGATGGGTCTGAGCACAGAGAGATCAAAAACCCTCTAAAGCTTGGGTATAGAGGCCAGTTGCAGCGTGGGGCACAACCAAGAGCACTGCAGCCTATGGGGAGGCAATGGGGCCTATTCAAAAACATCTACAAAATACATAACAATACTATATGGTCTCATACAATACAAATTTCCTTGGAAATGCCACACTGAAGGTTGCAAAAGAAAACAAAAGCCAACCAAGACACTCAGCTGTATGCTCTGGATCACGTTTTCCCACACCCAACCCTTCCCCTGAGGGAAAGGAGCTGGTGCCTGGTGTTTGCCTGGGTGCCAGGCAGCGGGAGGGCTGCTCATGGCAGGTCTGGAACAGCCCAGCCCATTTCTCAGAAAGCAGCCTGACACGTCTTAGTTCTCATTCCTGGCAGCCTGCAGCGATGACAGCCAGTGTGGGCTTGGTGTCAGTGAGCAAGGCACCTGTCATCCCATCCTGAATGACACACTGTTCCTCTAAGCACCTGACTGGGCTTCCCCTTGCCCAAGCCTCCTCCTGATTCCAGCTTCGGAGAAGGGAATCAATGTCTGTAAGCCCGTCCTGGACTGAAAAAGCTTCCCGCTGCAGGTAGGATCCAGGATGCTAAGTGTTGGGAGCAGGGGTGGGAAGCACTAGATGTCATTGCTTACTCCAGCATTGTGGTCACATTGCTGGCACCCACAGTGTTCTAAAACCCATACCCTCCCTCTGCTGAGAAGGAAGGAAAGAAGAAAAAACAATAGAAAAAGCAGAGAAGAAATAATAATAAATTAAAAAGAAAACCTCAAAAAATAAAAGAAGGAATGAGCCCAGCAGTGTCCTTGCGAAATGAGGAGCAGGACAAGACAGCCCTCCCCTTGTGCAAGGCTCCAGGCAGGGGCATTCCCAAGCAGCTCCCACCTACCTCCCCCCATTCTCTCTCTTCTCTCTCAGCAGCTTTAACTCATTAAGCTAATGGAAGCCAGTCTCTTCCCCTCAGGTCACCATGGCAATGTTTCCAAAAGAAAAGAAAAGGAAAAAAAAAAAAAAAAAAAACAAAAAAAAATCTCCCCAGCATCGCACCATTCTTCCCAGGAAAGCTGGGCGGCTCTCCAAGCCTTGCCCCCCTCACGATGCTCTCCTCCTGCCCTAGGCTGCCAGGCCAGGGCTTGCGGAGCCTTTGTGGGGAGGGAAAAAGAGATTTTTGTTCTCATCCTCCCGCCAGAGCGGCTCCCAGGGAGGAGAATGCAAGGCTTGTGCAAGCCACCAATGAGACTGGCAGGGCTGCGGCCGCCAAACAGGGAAGGCTGGCACCAATGCTTGGAGGTGGGGAGGACGAGTCCTGGAGAAAGCTGTCTCCATAGCCAGCAAGTCCTGACCCTGGTCCGCTTCCTTTCAAGCTGAGGGTGAGACAGAGGCAGGGCGTGGGAAGTCCCTCCAAGTTGGGCTGGATGAGGGGAGGCTGCGCTGGGATATTTTTATCCACTTACTCATGGAATCAGCTCAGCAGGTCCCCCCCCAGCCCCAGGAGCCTGTATCCCATCTCACAGTGCAAGCAGGACCAACAGTGCTTTCCTGGAAATGGTGTGAGAGGTGCCAAAAAATAGAGAGAGTGCTGGGAGATGACAGCTGGGAAGCCCCTTCCTTTCCCTCCAGCCCTTTTCCTAAGAGAAATGCTGCTGCTCCATAGCTGCTAATGCCTTCCAGATGGAGTAACCCTGTCGCATAGCATGGAAAGCCCTCTGGGGCCACACGTCACGCATGTGGAGACACTGCCTTTGCGTGGGAGAACACGAGGAAAAGGAAAGGGGTTCACCTTCCTTTACAAAAACAAAGGGAATGTGTGGAGAAACCCAACAAACATCCACATGTGTACACACCCATACGCAAACTGACCCCACAGGAAGAGATGACACAACCAGATTTCTTCTGTTCTGCCTGTCTGGGAAATGTTGGGTCATAGAATCATATGACAGAGACCTTGGGTCTCAAAAGTCAGTACGCAGCTTGGAGGAGGACTGCTGCATGTCTCCAGCATCCACAAAGCCCAGGGAGTTTTGGAGCTTCCCTTGACTTCAGTGCACAAACAGGGAGCACGAGCAGGCTGCATGTTAGAGGCAACGAGGCTGCCTTCTGAGCCTAACTCGAATACGCAATGACACAAGTTGTTTTGCACTCGGGTAGATCTGAACCCAAAATAACTCACTGCCACCAACTTTAAGTCAAGATTTACTAAGCCAGCAGGGAAGTGGCCTTAAGTCAGAACCAATTTTAGCTTGCAGAGTTAATGATCCTCGGGAGCTAATCACTATGAAGGTATGCTGGGTTACAATTAAGTGTAAGTTGCTTTTTTAATAGAAACTGATTCTGAGCTAAAAATAAAGAAAGGTGATTATTTTCATTGTTAAAGAAATGGTATAAGCCAAACACTTAGAGGGAACTATTGACAACGTGTTGTGCACTATATCTGTTATTTTAAGAAAAATTCTACCACTATTGAAGGAGTTGATCTGTCAGTGATTATTGGCAAGTTGAGGACCTACAAACCACAGCCTTTTCTTCTTTTAAGAGACTAGATAATTAAATTATCCTTACCTATAAATAGGTTTATTTCCAATAGAGAAAAATACGCATACTTCCAACTGAGAAAAAAATAAACAAACAACAAACCATGTACAAGTTAATTTAGCAATCACCCACTCTGCTCACTCTGCTTCAATGCCAAATGTAAGCCCTGTTTTCTACTGCTGGGTGTGGGAGCTTGGCCACCGCTCACATCTCTGCCAGTCAGCCACACATCAGGGCCTGAAGGAGCAGAGCACAAGGACCCAGAAATTGGGACTTTGGGGCTCCCTGGGTCTTTCCATGAGAGCCTGCACCCAAGACATGCAGCCCTGTGACATTATGGCTTGGCCACAACTGGAACCCATGGCCATGAGCGCTCCTACATGTCAGAAGGCCAGCAGGTAAACCCAGGGAAGCTCAGGTGTCCTGACCACTCCTGCACAGCTGCTAAATAAGCTTTAACGTGAGCATCAGAGCCTCTGAGGCCAGCAAAGTCTCCTGAAGGTGCTGTACGAAGCAGGCTGCAGAGAGGATGCCAGCAATGGTATCGCATCATGATCACATGCAGATGCGGGGGAGCCAGAGCCAGAACTGCCATCTTTATCAGCCTCGTCGCTAGGGGAAAAAGCCCAAACATAGAAAAGTGATGATATGTTTTCTATTTGGGCAGCAATACACTGCAGGACAGCAGAGAAGGGGAAAGAAAGGGAGTGGCAGCGACAGACTCCGTGTCCAAATTTAAATCGTTACTGTGTGCCTGCCCGAAACCCTACACTCTCCCAAAGAGTGCCGGTGCTGCTGTTCTGGGAAGGAAACAGCAGAGGAACCACTGACAAAAAGTGAAAAGTCAGAGGGAAAACTAAACAGCAGCAAACTCAGCCCTCTTCCTACACCCAATGCCGCATGGAAAACTACACCCAAGTCTGCATGGCTCTGTGCTTGGCCCGAGGCCCAGGGATAAGACAATGAAAGCCGTGGGTCGTGCTGCTCCATCCCAGTTGGGAACAGCTGGGTACCCACTGCCCAGTTTGGAATGCTGAGAGGAGCCAGCAGCGAGGCTCTCACAGCACTGCTCTTTTGAAAAAGAAGATGGTTCTTTATGCGGGGGGTCACTAGACATCTAGGAAATGGTTAGCCAGTTGTTAGCATTCAGTTTGTCAACGCCGCGAGCTACTGTAAAGGCTGGTGGCTGACCAGCTAACAGCATATTTCAGGACAGGTTTTTGATTGAAATCCACAACTAAAAGGGAGAGAGAGGAAGAGCAGGAGGAAACCCAGCTGCTCTCTCAGAACAGCTGCCAGCAGGGAGGGCTGTGAGGCACCCAGCTCCCACTGCTGGCTCACGCTGCCTCTCTGTATGGTGACTTACACTTGCGAGCTCACAGCTGATGTGTATGTAGAAGCATGCCCAGGCTTCCTCTGTTAGGCAAAAATAACTCACCAGTGCCAGCAGAGCCCCTTAGCAAGTCAAATCACCTCGGAAATTGCACACTGTAAAACCATAACCTTGGAAGAAGAGCAAGCAGTTTCCTCTACAGTCTCAAAAGCACGAAGCACCCCAGAGATCCCCATCCCCAGTCTCGCTGGCTCTTGGAAGCCCCAAACCAGCTGCTGTGCCCCTTGTTGCAGCATGAGCTCTCCAGGAGGGGACCTGCAGGGGGAGAAGGCTGTGGTGGCAAGCTGCTTTGCTTCTGCCTTATTTCTGGGGAGACATGAAACCCTGACGCAGGCTGAAGATAGATAAGCATCATGCCTTGCTCCCCACATCCTCCTCCTCTCATTTCTCCATTGCTGCCCAGCCCTGCATGCAGCGCTGTTTTTTCCTCTCACAACACACACGTGGCTATAACAACTTTTAAAAAACAGCTCTTTCTTTTTGGACAGCTTTTTCTTTCTGGACCCGGCAGAAAAGCCAGGAGGCAGCAAAGCACCACTCCCTCTCCCGGATACAAACCCCCACTGTGCATGTTTGCCCCTGTTGACTGTTTCATTGTGCTCCCCATCCCACAGCAAGGCCTGCCCAGCATTACAGCCTCCCTACAGGCCCTGGAAGCCACTAAAAAGCAGCTTGAAAGGGAAAAATACATATCTAGAGACCAGTCCTGGGCTCAAGGGAGAAGTCTCCAAGGCAGGAACACAGTGTGGTTGTTGGCTGGCCCGGCGCCAGGGGGGGGGCGCAGGGGCGGGGAGGGCATGCCAGTTGTTGGGGGGAAAAAGAGGAGTAAAAGGAGAAAAACAGAATCCCAGACTTCAGGCTGAAGAGGGCTGGCTAAGAGAGACAGCAGCTGAAAGAAACGCTTTGCTATTATTACTGCATGGAAATTACAGCCACCAGAAGGAATCCAGGCAGAGTGTTGCTGACTATAACTTTAAACAGAGCAGGAGCCGTGTGGCCGGGCTGCTTGCAGCACTGGGAGCCAGTGGGGCTGGGGGGGTTTTGGCTTGCTGCTGTTGTGCACTCCCCACCCGCACCCAAACAGCAAAGGGCAAGGACAGAAAGTGAATGTAAACAAGCCAAAGAGCAAAGGATGCTCATAGGTTTTGGAGAAGTGTCTTTTGGGACACATCCATTTGGCCTCCAAAGAAAGGAGGTGTTTGGATCAGCTCCTGGAAAGGAAAATGTTTAACTTTTTTTTTTTATTTTATTATTATTATTATTATTAATGTAAAACATACAAAGGGGAAATACTTTAAATACAGCTCTGGGTACAAGGCAGGAGGGGGCAAAACCCACTGCTGCTGACAGCAGGAGCATCTCTGGCAGTCATGCACAGCTGGGCAGAAGGGCTTGGGCATGGTTTTAAACTAAAAGAGATTTAGGTGAGGAGAAATTCTTTCCTCAGAGGGTGGTGAGGCATTGGCACAGCTGCCCAGAGAAGCTGTGGATCCCTGGAGGTGCTCCAGGCCAGGCTGGATGGAGCCCTGGGCAGCCTGAGCTGGTGGAGGGCAGCCCTGCCCATGGCAGGGGTTGGAATTGGGTGGACTTTAAGGTCCCTTCCAACTCAAGCCATTCTGTGATTCTCTGATACACCACTTAATGGGTAGATGGAATATAAACACTTTCAGCTACAGACGAGAAGAGGAACAAACTCAGACCTCCGCCTTCCCCTGATATACAGACACATACTTTCCGTGTCACTGATCTGAGGAGTTCTGGAAGGACCAGTCTTCACCCCACCTGTGCAACCCATGAATGATCACCACAAAGCAGGGCAGTACAGAGAATATCAGGACAGCAGCATGTATCTCAAGCCCTCCCTTCTGCCTCCATCCCAGCACTACTTACCGACATAGAAGGTGTTGGGAGCCTGCTTGTCACCCAGCTGCAGGTAGAGGATGTTGGTGGTCTGCGAGTCATGGCGGAGCCACAGAGCCACTCCAAGGATGATGCCCCCGGCCAGCTGCAGAGAGAGCAGAGCCACATGTTACCCATGGCCAGACCTAAACACCAAGGCAGGAGCATGATAATGACCTGCAGGTAGCTTTAATGTCCTGTTATTTCTTCCTGGCAGAGTGGACTTCCAGCAGGATTCACCGTGCTATCCATGGCAGTCCCCTTTCACTTAAAAAAGCATCAGAGAAAGGATGGAATTTCAGATCAGTTGCTGGAAACATCTGCTTAAATGCCCATCTGAGCATTTGAAACTCCCGAAGCCACTCATCTTAAAAAAGAGCCCATGTACAAAACTGGAAGATAACTCCTGAAAACTACAGAAGTGGACACACGGTGTTTTTCATTAGGGTCTGAGGCAGGTCAGGTGCAAGCACGAGGGTCACATTTGACAATATGAAAATAGAGATTTTGCTTAGGAAAAGTGCAAAGTCCTCAGCTGTGCAAGTGCAGCAGTGCTCAACCAAATGCACGTGGACTTAAATTTCCAAAAAAGGCTCCTTGCATTCAACCCAGTCTTGCTCCTCCTTAAGCCAGAAAGTGAGTTTCTCCCTTGCTGATTCCTGCAAATCCCAACCAAAACTCTGTTTCATTGGGGTGCTCCCACAGCCTGGGCGAGCACACAGCCTGTACAGAACTCCCTGGGCAAGCTGACCTCGTGGTTCCTGGCATAAAGGCTCCCTACCTTCACCTTGTGGGCAATGCAGGAGGGCAAGGAGAAAAGCTTTGCTCTCCACAGCGACCACCTTTAGCACTTGTCCCCAGTGATCAGTGCTACCTCCCTGCTTGCAGGCTCCCTCCAGTGTGGCTCTCCCAGCCCTGGCTATGGACGTGCCACGGAGGCAGCTAGTGCCCCAACTGGGCTCTAAATAAGGCAGCCAGCGGCATCGCCCCACATTGAGCCTGGCATTGCTTGCTTATTGTCTGAGAACATAACAAAGCCTGTGTCCACTTATCCTCTGGGAAGGAAGGGGCAGTCCTCAGATTCATGGATGCCATTGCAAACAACCCATCTCTTGAATGGGGCAAAGAACTCAGCCACGCTTGGGATTCAGTGAGGAAGGAAACAAGAAGAGAGGAAGGAGAGCACGGAAGGGGAAATAGAGCACTGGACTGCTGCAGAAACTCAGGTTCCAGCAGAATAACGTGTTGGGTTTTTTTCCAATTAGAGAACAACCCAGAAAGAAAAGCATTTTTTAAACAGAGCACCAAGAACCTTCAGCTGGAAGTTTCAATCCAACAGCAGCTGCATTTCTTAAGAGCAAACAACATTCACTCACTAATGAAAACAGGATTTAGGCTACGCTGAGTAACTTTTTCCATGAAAATCATACATCCTTCTACCACCAAGCAGCACAGAATGCAACAACAGCATCTTTCCAAAGGAATGAAAACAAGAGGGAGAAAACCCTGCTGGTGTGTTGGAGTAACCCTGTGTCCGCTGGGATGTGAGCATTTACATTGCAGCAGCACTCGGAAAACCCCAGTTTCCCTGGGTGCCTTCCTGGTCTCCAAGTTGCATAGCCTCATTGCCTAGATTTCCCTTTTTTTTTCCTGTAGGTATCCATCAGCTCATGCAGGCTATTGAATTCCTTTTTCCTCGTCATGCTGTTCAGACCATAAAGTCTCTGAGACTCATTGCAAACACAAACCCAGCACAGCCCCGATTTGTGTTTCTGGGGACTGCTCTAATGGAAGCGATAGTAAAAGCTTCAATTTCAGCAGCGCTCGTGCTACATTTCTCTTAGATGTGGTTTCACAACCCTTCTAACTGACAGTTCCTCTAATACCCCCCTGTGCTTGTGCCTTTGCCTGCCTTTATTTTACAAATAATATTAAAAATCTAGAAAAACCTCAGAAGAAAACACGAAGCCAAATAACACCTCCTCCACCCTCCTCCTGCCCCTCTGTAAAGGCACAAGGAGCTGATCCCAGGCTTTACACCCCAAAGGGCACAGTGTACTGGCACAGAAGAGCCGACCACGGTAGTTCTGCTGTTTCCTCTTTGCTTCTCTTTTCCAGCTTCCTGAGATTTATTGCTTCTGCCTCAGTCAGCCAGACTTTTCTAGCTGGATCCTGCCTGCCTAAGACGGTGTCTGGGGCTGCTAGCTGGCACAGGGGGGAATGGCAGCCTCCTGAGACACAAAATCCAAGAGATGGGGCATCACTTTATCATGATAAAGAAGCAAACACCCATGCTTTAAGAGCATAAGGCACATTCCTCCTCTTGCCATGAACATGGGGAATCCCTATACAAGATGATGCTTGTGCACATGAGGATGTGTACCATTCTCTTTTTCTGCCGTTACCACGCTTCTTCCTCCTGCTGCCTTTCTCCACCTCTCTCCCCAATAATTTTCCTGGCAGGGAGGAGGAGGAGAAAGAAGAGGCCGTGGCTATGGGGCTCCTTGACCAAAGTGCAACAGACATCCTGCAGTCTGGCCCCAAGGAAAAGAAGGGTTATGTCAGTGCCGGTATTTCACAATGCAGTATTTTTAACAGTGCAGCTTCCCATGGACATGGCTGGCCCTCCTGCTCAGTTTGGGCCATAGGGAGTGAGGGCATGGAAGGATGAAGCAACTCACCAAAGCTGAAGCAGCTCACCATGCAAGCAGCCAGGAATTAATTGCTACATCAGAGTTGAATGTAAGCAGAGGAAGTGACTTAAATCAGATAAAGGAAGATGCAATTCAACTGAAGGAAGCCAAAGAACTTAAAAATCTTCTTTACTGAACTTGACTCAGGCACTTGCAAGCCACAACACTTCTGGAAAGTAGAGATGAGATCTCTCCATCATCTCCTGATATCACAGTCTCTGATGGCGGTCAAAGGTGAGGCCACATGGCTAAAAACGTGCAGGCTAAGTCTGTTCAGAAACTGGGGCAAAAATGAAGCAGAAAGGCCCGTTTTCTTCATGCACAGGAGGAAGGCTGCATTTTATCCATGCTGTGCCTGGAGCAGCTCAGCAATGGCCACTTTCCAGCAGCCACTATTAATAGAGCAGCGGAGCAGGACCAAGTTCTCCGCTGGTGCCTATAGTTACCAGCCCAACAACATTGTGAGGCCCTTCCAAACAGACCCAGAGGAACACTCCCGGAGTAGTGGTAGGCTGGGTGCCAAACACAGCCCAAGCAGGAGGAGGGGAAGGGTGAGAGCCCTGTGTCCCCACTCACTGGAGGAGGACACACCGTGAGATGCTCCCTGCATGGGTACAGCTTCAGGCACTGGCACCCATCAGCAAGGGTTAATTGCCCCAGCAGTACAGGAAAACATTTTCAGATACATCTTTAGAATCAGTTTGGCCACACACATCAGTGTTTAGCTCCACTGGTAATACAACAGCTTTCCCTTTTTAATAACACACACCCACACAGCGCTTTCCATCGCGACATCAAAGTACTCCCAAGGCGTGTATGCGCTCTCACAGGAGGTGAGCTGTAGGGTGTCTGACAGATGAGCCACAGGAACACAGCTGGCAGTGATGCTCCCTCCTCGGGTAGCAAAGGCAGGTACTGCCATGGGATGGAGCACTGTTTCAATGAGCTCCTGCAGGCAGACACCAAAGGCTCACAGGAATGGTTGTGTACACACGATAGCCCAGAAACATCACAGCGAGATGCCGCCAAGGCACGTGGAAATACGCTGCACTGTGCATTCCCAACTACACCGAGCCCCAAGTCACTACAGCCAGATGCCAGCAAAGCCTTCTGTCCTCAGTGTTTGCAACACTGTGATTCCCAGGGAGACCAAGGATCAAAACATAAACCCCACTGCACTGGAAAAGCCTGTGACACACTGTGACTAACACTGTTTAAGCAATTTCCAGTCCAGGCATGCGTGTGGGGATGCAACCCAAACAAGACTCAAACTGTTTCTACGAACCTGCCAGGCTGCTTCTGAGCAGTGTGTTTGAGCCGTGCACCGCACCAACCTCCATCTCTCCCACTGGGTTTCCATCCCCTGTTTTAAACCTCATTTAAATCCTTGCTGTTATGATGAGGGGAACGAGTCCTGGAGCACGACAGTCCCCACTGGGCCACCATTGAGGGCTGAGGAAGTGCAGGCTTGCCACCTTCCTCAGCGTCACCAAACATCTGCATGTGTGCTTTGCAGGCTGGCAGATGACCAGCAGAATTTCCCCAGAATTGTTAAGAGAATACTCAGCAACTTCACCTGTGCTTGTAATGCATGGTCTTTCACGTTCCCCCTGTGCTCCTCCTTTTCATCCCCACCCATGCTCAGCACGCGTAGGAGAAAATAGCTACGTGTAGCATAGAAGGGAGGACTGAATCATAGAATCATTGAGGTTGGAAAAGACCACTAAGATCAGCTAGTCCAACCGTCAACTGGTCACCACCATGCCAGAAGCGAGCTCTTTGAACCAGACCCCTCACTGGAGCAGGTGGCAGTGTGCTGGGCTGGAGATGTCAGCTGATGGGCTGGGTGAGAGCAGGCTGATTCCTCCCTGCTTATATTTAATCACATTTCAAAAGACCTATTAGGCCTCCTTTGGTGTCTCAGGGTATATAAAAGTGGCTCCAGCCCAACGTGCCAGCCCCAACCTGGACTGTGCTGAGGCCCTTCCACCAGCGACGCCTCAGGGCCTGAGCTTGGCAGCTCACTCCACAGCCACTCAATAACCCAGCACCCTTCGCAGACAGCTGGCCATCTCCCAAAAGTCACCGCTCCCCGTGGCTCTCAAATATCACAAGTATACTGCCTAATTCAGCCATGCAAGAAAAAACAGAAGCAGGGTTCAAGTATTTCTACCAAGGTTTCAGGCCAAGCTTGTAAGCTTTTCCTTATTATCCTTGACAGAATGTCAGTGGGGTGAGGCTCTTCCAGAGCTGCCCTTGTCCTCTTCCACCACCCTAGTGATGCCTGCAAGCTATCATCATGCTACAACCCAGCACAACTCTGCTGGAGGTGCCACAGGTCTACTGGAGCTTCAGAAAGCTCTCAGCAGCCTCAGGACTCTCCTTCCCAGTACCCGGCAGCACACACCAGCGACGTGCACGGAATCCTATGTAAGCTCACTGACAGACATCCTGGCCCAGCTGCCTGCCCCAGCCACCAAAACAGCCTGGTTCTTCCTAAAGCGCAAGCACAAGGTAAAGAAGTTTCCAAAAGGAGAAATCTCAGGCAGATGAGGCTGCCAAGGCGCCCAGGGCGACTGGTGCTGAAGCAACGTTTTACTTTTGCTTCCCAACACGGCGGCTTTGTTATGCCCCCGCGCTGCTACGGAGGTGTCCGTTTATTTACGCCCCAGCAGAACAACGGGGCCACTTCAAAAAGTTATCAGCTTCTTTCTTACTTGTTAACACAACTAAGGCTTAGAATTACTTCCTTTCCTCCCCCGGAGTGAGCTGCTTTTCAGCATGCGGCCAAGCCCCGGTGCCTGCCAAGCTCCCAGTTCTGCCTCAAGCTTGTTTTCGACTCAGCGCCAAGCATAGAACAAGCAACAGAGCAGTCCCACAGCCCTCACATACCAAGCAGCTGGCACCAACACCGCCCCAAGCCCCTCATCCCACATCTCCCAAGGGCTGGGACACCCACACAGCTGCCTTGCCAACAGCCCAGACACCCTGCAATGAGCACTTCAGCGCTGCTTCCTCTCTCGGAACATAAAACTACCACAGGTCTTCACGACGGGGTAGTGACCAAAACATCTCCTCCCACCATCTGTGGGAGGCTTGCTCCTCACCGCATTGATGAGGTGCTAAACCTTACAATCCCCCTCGACTCCTGCTTATGGAAAACCAGAAGGGTCTGAAAGCCATCAGACCTGTTGTTTACTGCCCCAGAGCCTGTCAGGTTCGTGAAAAACATTGGTGGAGGAGGCAGCCCCGGGAAGCAACTGCTGGCTGGCAAACCCTGGGCAGCGCTTTGGGAAGCAGGCACCAGAAGCCATAAAGGGAAGGAAAATGGATGTGGCATTCCCCTTCTAAGTGAAAGGATGGTTTACTGAGAGTTAGGTATACAGAATGAGTAAGAGAGCCTGCCCAAGAGCAGCAGCAGCACAGGGACCTCCTGTATCCTTCCTGTCCCCATGGGACCCTTCCTTTCTGCATCCACACTTCTGCAACAAGAATGGCAGGAAGCTAGGAACAGGAGGGAAGCAAAACCCCCGGATAGGCACTGAACCTCGTGGGGAAACAGCCCAGGGAGGCGCAGCCCTGTTCTGCTGCCTAGAGAAGGAGGAGGACGGTCCCAACTTATCCTGCAGCTGGCACAGCATCGGATATCAATTAATCCCGCTGTCGTCACCGCTTGTCAGCCTTCCTCAGTCACTGCTATGTGAGAAGAAAGGCAAAGCACAGTCTCAAGGCAGGCTGGATTGGGGAGCGTCTCCACCGCTCCCTGACGCGTCAGCGTCTGACCCAGAATTGGGATAAACGGGCAGGAACGCAAATGGTGACCTTCCTCCCCCAGCAGGAGGACCCACTGCCACCACCATGCCCAGGCAGACGAATTATTCCATGAGAAACTTTCTCAGGAAAGCAAACCTCAGCGACACCCTGGGAATATCCGCCGGCTCCACTAAGTTCCCAGAGGCAGCGCCCAGCTCTACCCCAGCCCGCTCCAGCGCTGCCAGGGCTGCGAGGGGCAGCAACAGCCCCAACCTCCCCTGCTTTACGCATCCCCTCCGCACGGGGGGGCTCACCCTATTCAGCCCTCGGCAACCGAAACACCGCACGGGGTGCGCGGAAAGAAGACAGCGAGCCGAACCCCCGCCCTTGTGCGAAGATCCACAGACGTAAAAATACATCCATCTACGCGAGTATATATAGACGTGCCGTATGAATAAATACAGAAATAAATAAAGCTGCGTTTGCACGCATAAAAAATAGCAAAGGATAAATGTTCCCCGCGCCCCGCCGACCAAAGCCCTGATAGCAGGGTGCAAAGCTCGACATGGGGGCTGGTTGGTGGGGGAAGGCGGGGCAGAAGGAATGGAAAAACCCCGGCTCTAGCAGAACGCGCAGCCCAACCGCCCCCACCGCGCTGGGGCTCACCCAGAAGATGAAGTTGAAGACGAAGAGCAGGTATTTGATACACTTGGTGCAGCCCTCTACCCCCATGGCGGCTTCGGCGGCGGCAGCTCCCAGTCTGAGGCCAAGCTAGGCGGTGGCGGGGAGGGAGAGAGGGAGGGAGAGCAGGGAAGGGCCGCCCCCTGCCCGCCCCTCCCGAGCGGCGGAGTCCCTTTGGGTCCCACCCTCTAAAGCATTTTTTCCGTTCGAATGTTTTTTTCCTTCCCTCTCCCTTCCGCCGTTCTTCGTTTCCCCTCCTGTAGCCTTCCCACCCACCCTCCCACCCCTCCTTTTCCCCACTTGCTCGTACATTAAAACTCACCGCCGTGTTCCCAATGCTTCCTTTCAGCCTTACCACCCAAAAGATCACCCCCAAATTGTGCGGAAGCACTCACCGTGCTTGCTTTGCTCCTTTCCCCACCCATCTAGGGGTATTTCAGGGCTCACCATCAAAGAGATGAGGGGCTGCCCAGAGAGAGGGTGGAGTCACCGACAAGGTGGACTACCTTGAACGCTGGAGGTGTTCAAGGAACATTTGGATTTTGTGTTGAGGGATATGATTTAATGAGTACTATTGGTGATAGGTGGATGGTTGGACTGGATGATTGAAGGCCTTTTCCAACCTTGGTGGTTTTATGATTCCGAGATCTGTGTCACACGTGTTGACATTTTTAGTATCCCTCATGTTTAATTTTAAAAGCCAAAAAGCAGCATCACAGAGTCAGGAGGAAGTTTCCCCATCTTCCAGGCTAACCCCACTTTGGTTCATCTGTGCATCCCTAGAAACATAGCCTGCTCTCACCCTGCTGTGCATCCAGCAGGCACAGTTGCTTCTTTTAGGGCTGGGATACCAAAAATGTCAGAACAGAATTCAGAACACAAGAGCCCGATCAAGAGCAAAACCTTAAATGTCTAAAAGAAAAAAAAAAAAAGAAAAAAAAAAGAAATGCAGGTGTTCAGACAGCACCCCTGGTGCCTGCTGAACCCTGCTTTGCCTTCTGCACCTGCTGTGCACCCAGTGAGGACTGAGGCAGAACAGAAGCTGGCCCAGTTCCCCAATGACTAGCACTGAGTACATCCCCAACTGTGGGCTTACCATGGATGCATAAATCCTTTGTCTCTAAGTCCCATTTACTCATTTGGCCTTACCAATGAAGCTGGAGCCTAACAGAGGTATTCATGCACTAGCTGATAGACCAAATCGTTGGCTATAGGACTAATCCTGCCTGGATCCTGATACAAAGGATAATGATTCCAAATTTGTTCCCCTGCTATGACACAGCAATGCTTTGCTTTCTGCCCAGGGTTTGCTGCAGGGAAGAGAAAGAACTGCCTGCAAACCGTTAAGGCCTGAGCAGCAGCACAGCCAGAGCTGGGGTTAGGAAGGAAAGATACTCAAATCAGTGTCTGCATGCTGAGAAGCTGGCAGCCCCACTGCAATCACTACGACCAAACTGGCACTGGAGCCACCAATGGGAAGCTTGGGGTTTTTGGAGGGTGGTATCACAGCTATTTCCTTTCTGCCTTATCTTACGGAAAGTAGCAAATGAGGAACAAAACTTCTCATACACTCCAAATGCTAAACAATCTGGCTCAGAGCTAATGCATTCCTATTGCTGGGCATCCCCATGCCTGAGCCACATGCTGTCCATGGCTCCAGCTCGAGGGTCACAGCTCCCATCTCCTACAACACCCAGCTCTGGGATCTAAATGAGGTTCACCCACCTGCCCACCCTGACAAAACCTCTCTACAGCTTGGCAGTGGGGAAGGATTTCAAACTTTGTCCAAATATCCCTCTCTTCTATCAATTTATCTTCTATCAATTTATTTACTTCCTGTCAGCTCAGCTGAGTGCGCTTGAAAACTTTGACCTCGGTCTGGGAAAAAAGAAACCAAACCAACAAAACAAACACCAACACATTACAGTGTCAAGGTAACGCGGAGTGTTTCTCAAGCAGGTACATGCTATCAGATGCAGCCTTTTCCCCCATGCTGTACAAGTCTACAAAGTATCAGGAATGCATTTAAAAGTCTCCCAGCAGCTTTACCAGATCTTTACAAGCAGGCTGCTCTGTAAGTTGAACTGATTTATGCGAATTTGTGCTTGTCACATCCTCAGATGGACTGCAGGTGCTGTGCACAGGGCTGGGGAATTCCCTCATTTGTAGCATGGGTTAAATTTAGGTGCTCTGTGAGACGCGCTGTTAACGCCAGTTTGCTTACCCAGGGGGCAAACCTATGAAGAAAATACCTATTGGGGATGTTAAAAAAAGGAGAAAAAAAACAAATTAAAAAAACCCAGCCCCCAGGAGCAGCCATTTAAGCGTGCTTTCACTGTTTCACATTTTTGAGCGGAGTAAAGTAGCAGAGAACAGAGGTGTGTTTCTTTCGTCTGCTGGTCTATCTCCCTTCTCCTCCTCTTCTTCTCCCTATTTTTGATGCTGCTATAAAGGTCAGTGTCATGCTTGTAGTTTTGGCAAAATCTCTATGGGTGTGACTCACAGGGCCCAGAGCAGACATAGGGCTGAGCAGCATCCCAGCCCCACACCTGCCTGACAGCTTCTGCAGGGGAAAACCAGCAGCTCCACCCCTCACAGATCCCAGCTGGGCTCTGGGAAAAGCCTCATCCACCACAGGGTCCCCATCTATGGTCTGTGTTGGGTAGATGAGCTCTGGGCTGAAGCATATAGAGTCATAGAACATCTCAAGTTGGAAGGGATCCTTAGGAATCATTGAGGCTATCTCCTGGCTCCACACAGGGCCACCCAAAAATCAGGCCCTGGTGATGCTCCTCCTGCTCCCAGACAGTGAGACATCACTGTGGAGGAAGACTGGAGCTGGCTCTGCTGGGGAGAGCAGGGCAGAGAGCTTCCCATCCATCTTTGCTTTGCATCCCCATATTCCCTTGCTGAGTAAGCAGAGACTGGTAGCTTCACCTTGAGTTTCTGTCTCTACTAACTTCTGCAGCGGTTCCCTCCACACTGACTGACACTTTAAATATTTACAGCAGGGTTATCTATGGTGACAGGCAGGTTACATAAAGAGGAGAAAGAGAGCAGTGGTGAAGGGCAGCAGCAGCTTCCGGAGCCGTTGTTGTTTTGGTGCAGGTGCTGCTTCCACAGCCACCACTTGTGATTAGGAGGGAGAAAGCAAACCCAAGCAGGCTCCTATTTCAGCACAGACACTTCCTCTTCTTCTCCAGCATAGCCAGGAGGGCAAGAGCCCAGCTCAGCAGCCTGAGGAACTGCTGCTGTGCCATCTATGTATAATTTATCACCAGGTGAATAGAGGCTGCAACAGCTCAGTGCCAAGGTAACACAGCTAAAAAGAAAACCAATGCATCCATAAGCAAGCTGATGTGCCTCAGGGTTAAACAACAGAGGTACTTAGCGATGCTAAGGAGAGCAAGAGGGGTAGTTTGCCTTAGGAAGGTACAGGCAACCTAAGGGAAGTCAACAGTGAGAGTTAGCAATGAATCTGGGCTCTGCTGAGGCCTCACCCAAGTTTGCCAGGTTACAAGGCTTCCAAGTTACAAGGCTTCAGAAGGAGCACAAGCTCAGGGTTTGAATTCAGATTGCACAGCAAAGGGGAAGTTATAATTTGGTGGCGGCCAGCATTGTCTGGGGGACAGGATATAGCAAAGCAATTTGAAGCCTGAAAGATTCCCACTGTCCCCACAATCAACTTCCTTTTCAGGCTCAGCTTAACTGCTTAACCTAGGCTTGCACAAGGGCTCCAAATCCTTGGTCTTTTACTTCTGCTGTGCAGAAGCCCCACGCATCCTCAGCTGCTGTGTGAGGCCTTTTCCTCCTTGCTAGTAGTGCTGCTTGAGAAGTGAAAGCAAAAAGCTGCACCTACTGCTTAATATAAGCAAGCAGTGGCCTTAGGAAGCATGGCCAGCTGACTACAGGCATACGTGAGTCATATGGAAGGCTTTGACCCCTCTGTCCCCATTACTATCCCTCCTCCATGGTTGGGTAAGAGGAGGCAGATGAGGGCTGCAGGCTGTGAGATGGGATCAAAGAGCATGGTATATACAACAAGTGTTTGTAGGGGGGGGATTATAACTTGTTTGGATATTTTATAAGAAAAACAAAAAATTCCAACCCCAGCTGTGGCTATAGAGCAGTGGAAGGAGAGGGACTTCCAGCTTACCTTGTTGGGAAGAAGCAGCCTGAGTCCTGAGGCACATGCAGCTGCATGGGGAACATGCAGCACCACAAGGCTCATTGAGGGCAGCCCATTGCGAACAGCCCAGCGCTGTGTATTGCAGAAGAGAAGGAATGATAGCTTTCAGCAAGAGATTGGTTTTTATTGAGGACACCAGGAGTCCTGTGTGCTGCTAACTGGCCTGAGGAACGACAACAGCAGTAGACTTGACAATGACAGCCAGAACTCACAGTGGAGACTGTCTCTGTGGAGGGTGATGTACTAAAGAACCCCTATATACATATCTCCAAATCTCTTCCCACCACCAGTAAGTCGATATGTTTGCAGGTGCAGCTGCATGGTAAGCATATCACCACTAAACTTGAAACAGCTTAAACGGTCACCACTAAACTTGAAACAGCTTGAACAGGGCTGGTGACTGCCAGGAGAGAGCTGGGTGATGCTCCACAGCACTTTGGACTCAATATTGACTCCAAAGCCTCTAACAAAGCTCTGCTTGTACCAGGGGAGAGGGACAAGGAGCCCTGGCTCTTCCTCCCTCAGTGCCTTTCTTTCCAATACAAAACATCTGCAACCGTGTTCAAATGCTAACCAGGTCTGGGGAGATACTGCAGGCTGTAATGCTGTTTTCACACATGCGGCAGTCCACATGCAGGGCCTGGAACTGTCCTGAACATCAGCATGGGGTTTTCCTCTTTCATCTCGATGAGATCATCTCCGGAAGCTGAGACAATCTCACCAGCCACTTACTGTTCTCAACAGGTAAAAGCCACAATGAAGGAGGGAGGTGAAAGCTGCTCTAAGAGATATTTTCCACTGCTGTAGCTCAGCAGATTTTCCAGCAGGAACTAAATCTATTGCTGTGATGGTTTTCAGCTTAGAAGTGGTTCTGCCTCCTTGCAATGAGGGCAAAGCACACCAGGAAGCCATCATTTCAGCTCGCCTGAGATGTTCAGCTGGCTGAGGCTTTTCAAATTCCTCCTTATTGTTGATAAGAAGGAGAGAAGAGGAAGTGGACATTGTGTTTTACATGGCTGGAGATCAGTCCATTTCTCCTTAATTTAAACACAAGCCCCATATGTTCAATATCAAAGTCCTTTTGTATTTCACAGCAGCATGGTAGGTTAGAGAAGCCAGAAAGAGACAGAATGGAGGCAGTGTGTTGAAGGAGTCCATGTGAAATCAGTGCAGCATCCAGAAGGCTGATCTAATCATAAGAATTTCAAAAACTCAAAAAAGGGAGATGCAGAGGGATGTGTCCTTATCCTGCTGGGCTGTTTCAAAACTCACACACTGCTTTCTGATTTTTTTTTTTTTCTTTCTTAATTTATATCAAGAATTCCAGCAACAGTTTGATAGAGAGGAAAAAAAAAAAAAAGGTAGTGGTGGCTGGGTGCTGACATACTCCGGGGTGGTCTAAAACCTGAAACCCTAGAGGCAACAATGAACACTGTCCCAGGTAGGAGAGCAAAGCTCCCTGTTTTTCAATACCACACCCAGCGTGCACATATTTACCAAGATCTGTCCCATGCTGCAGTCCGAAGCTCTTGCCCTAGAGAAGTCACATCTTTTGGGGTCACAGGAAACTTCTCATGTGACAGCGCAGAGGTTTGGTTTAATGCTATGATTTTGGATGGGCATTCTTCTGGTTAAGTCCTAGGGGGCTGTGTGTATTCTCCTTGTGCTACACACCATCCTTCTCTCAAGGAGGAAACCTGCATCTCCAAGCCCAGGTGCGTCTCAGTCCTCATCCATTCTCAGTGAATATTGAAGACTGCTGTTCTGCAGAGTTCCACCCAGATGGTGCAGCTTGGAAATGCACACAGGTGAGCAACACAACACCTTTCCAGAGGTTTGGTGCAGGACTCCAGGCATTGACCTACACTGAGAGCTGGGTCTGCCTGGTAGGGAAGCCTGGGAGACAGGCTTCTACCTTCCTTGCAAGGTGTATTTGCCTTTCCGATCCAGGTTGTCGCTGAAGTGGATGGAGAACCAGTTGAAAGAAGTCAGAACCATCCCATAAACCTGAAAGGAAATAGACAAGATGGGCAAACAATTAAATGCTGAATGGAGGAGGATGCTCCAGCTGTGCGAATAAGTGATCCTAAGTGTTGCCTGCTGGTTCCATTGGCACTTCTGAATTTGTTACATATGAAAGCGTCAGACTGTTCTTGAGGGAGCTCTTTTCCACTAAAAGAGTAAATATCAATTCCAACATGGGATAGAAGAAAAAAAGAAAAACTCATGTGGTGAAAGCATCTGATTGGAATTAGCACAGCACGGCTCAAGCTCGATCCTAAAAATATCTAAAAAGCGAGAAGAAGCCAGGAAACTCAGACTTCAAACTCTTTCCTCAAAACGACCCTCCATGCAAACAAACTCATAATAGCCCTTTGTGTACATAACAGAGAGAGAAAAAAAAAAAAATCCTCATGCATTGTTTGGAATAACCTAAAAAAACAACAAAAATAAGCCCCCAACACACGCACAGCGCAAGCGCAGAAGACAGCACGCTTCCTTTGTACCGCGCTTTTCCGACGAGTACACGGTGCTGCATCTGATCACGTCTCAGGATTTGCACAGGCAGCTTATCAAAGTGAGGATGTTGCAGGAGGTGTAAGAAGGGCTGCAACAACATGCTCTGTGTTGGCCTCATTGTGCAAATCAGTGGGGACACGTCTGCCACAGGGATGGGGACATCAGAGCCGTGGTCCCAGCTGGCTCACTTTGCTCCACATCCTGCTGTCACAATGGCCACTCTCATGGTGGGATTTCCTTTAGTGCACACTTCAAAGGCTTTCCTGCATTATCTAGCTATAACATCAAGTCGTGGGGGAAAATGTGGTATAATACAAGCACACAAATAGAAAAATAAAAAACACTCCACTTCAGTGTGGATATAGCTTAAGCAAAATTTCTCCTACACCAAAGGATAATTAGAAAGCAACACCAGATATTCGTATATGACTTTCCATTATGCATCAGCTATCCGTCCTGAGGATTTTCTGAGCAAGAGCTCAGCGGTGCTAAGATCCAATAAAGCCTTAATGCTAAAGCTCTGTGTGCATGTACGTAATTCCATGTAAGTAGAAATGTACCTATAACATTGCCTGATAGCTTTCCTAGCTTACTACTAGCAATACGAAACACACACACACACACACACACACACACACACACACACACACAAAGCGATCCTCTGGGTTTTCTTGAGAAGTCTTCTAATCTTCATTGTGTTAAAGTGGATCCAAATCCCTAAATACATGCTGGTCAGGAGAACTTTCCCCATCTTAAGAGCAGCGTAGAGATACCACAGAAGATAAAACCTATTTATTTTCCAATTTCCGTGGTGGAGGCCATCACCATTGATTTTTTCAGTGCTCATGTTCAAAACCCCCCAAGCCCCCATGTACTTATTTAGGATACTTGTACTTATTTAGGATACAAGTCCCCTGTGGGGCCAGGAGCACACAGGAACAGGCACAGCTACCGTGAAGCCGATGGTGATGCCCAGGAGTGTGGAGACAAAGCCCATGTGCTTCTTCAGAAAGCCATGCATCTCTTGTAGGCAATCCTGAAAGGAGAGAGACACCTCTTGCAGTGTGGCAGCAGCTCAGGTGGGAAGACAAACACCTGCAGTATATTTTCTGTTACTACAATACGTTTATGATTTTCTTACTAGGATGCATTTCAGTCTACAGAGGATGTGTGTACACACAGCTAGTGTGGTCATGCACAGTGTTATTTTCTTCCTCTGGGAAATGGAGGGGGTGATGTGAAAAGACTGGAAAGCAGAGCATATCATAATGCTGCGTGTTCCCCAAAGACACTAACATCTCAGCATTGAAGGTACCACCAGCATTACTATGTATTAGCATTAAGCACTCTAGCAAACCCACTGAAATCCAGTGGCGATAGCCAAGAGTCATTTCAAGAATGCACAAAACTTGCCCTTGACTTTGTAGAACAAGGTAAAAGGGCTTATGGCCCCACAGAATCAGCACATGAGTGAATGCATTGCAGCAACCAAATGCCGTGGTTCCCTCCAACCAAGTGCAAACCATTAGTGAGGCTGACCAAAGGCACAGTGCCCAGGGCTGCTTTACTCTTTCTTCCTGCTCTTTGAGCTGAGGTCTACTTCACTTTGGTGCTGAATTTTCCAGGAGGCAGCTGGAAACCATGGGTTAATGCATACTGGTGCATCAAAAGGTTGTGTTACTGCTTATCATAGAAACATCACATCATTAAGGTTGGAGAAGACCTCTAAGATCATCTAGTCCAACCATTCACCTACCACTAGTAGCGCCCAATAAACAATGTCACTCAATACCACATCTCCACAGTTCCTGAATACCTCTAGGCACAGTGACTCCCCCACCTTCATGGGCAGCCTGTACAAATGCCTCATCACTCTTTCTGAGAAGAAATTTTTCTTAATATAAAACTTGAACCTCCTCTGGCACAATTTCCTCCATCAAGACACAACAGCAATATTTCCACATAGCTGTCTGTAGCAACACCATTTGTTTTTCCTAGGGACAACTCACGTTCTGAAGCTAATTTTGTTATTCCAGTGGGGAAAAAAGCATACAAGAGATTTACTCAGACTATGAAGTCTATGTTACAACTTCAGTAACAGCACACACAGTCTAATACTGGAGGGCTCTTCAGTGCTTCATTGGCATTTTGCAACCAAGTATAAAGTCTGCTTGATGAAACTACTGCTGGACAACATAATCCTGCTTTATAAGTTTCTCATTTAAATTTTTAATACCTGCTTAATGCCCTTGGGAAAAGGAATTACAGTCATCGTGTGCTCTTTCAACATTTGCTGTTAGCAGAACACGTGTTAAGCCTTAGAGACCAGAACCACGTGACAAATTCAATAGTGTTTTTCCATCAGACCCATGTCTGTGTTATCACACAACCTCCACACATGCAGAAGATGAGGAGGCTGGAGAAAAGCAACAGAGAAGCAACTTACCCGTCCAGCAGTCCGCTCTGTGCCAGGATGGCACATGTTGTGCTCGACAGCAGCTGTGTCTCCAAGAGGGGAGTGCTTCCCACAGCACAGGAACTGCAAGAGAGGGCAGGGTGGTAAACGGGGCTGTGAGGAGCAAAGCAGGCAGGCAAAAGGTAGTCACAGTGATGGAAGCTAAATACACAACACTAGACAAGGATTATTTCACCATCAATTATAGTGGCTAAACTAAGCAGGTGCCTACCATGCTGTGCATCCCAGGTCATTGAGTTTGCAAGACAGCTAGCAACTTTACAACATTGCAAGAGCTCACATTATCACAGAATCATCTGAATTGGAAGGGACCCTTAGAGGTCATCTGGTCCAACTCCCCTGCAATGAACAGGGACACCTACAACTAGATCAGGTGCACAGAGCCCTCTATTCTTTGCCAGCAACAGGCTCAAAGGTAGACAGGAGTAATCAAACTAAGTAGCTCTGTTGGATTATATAGAATTCTCACCCTCTCTATACTTGACTGAAGGTGCTAGAAGGTGTATATGGCTGCTCTCATGCTACATACGGACTTAGCAAAAGGCTGGTTCCAGAGGAAAACAGTACTATAGCACTGGCAAAGCAGAGCCTGTTGGAATCAATGGGCAGATGCTCCAGAAAAAGGCTTCTGTGAAGTCTGGAAGATAACTTACTATTTCATGGATGAGAGTCAGCTCGTGCCTCTTGGAGCTAGAGCCATTCCTCCTCACCTCCTCATACACGAGGTCGTATACATCCAGCATACTGTCCTCCACCTGCAACAGAGGCAAACATCTGTACCGTGCACCAAGATGAGCACAGCAGCTGCCCAATTGGCTTTCGACTGAAGCTTTTGGCCAGTTTTAGATGTACTGTCAAAGAAATACAGAAACATAAGTGCCTGTGACATATGTGCCTCCATGTCCCTCCGTGTCCTGCCAGGGAGAGGTGACAACATCATCTTGTTCTGAGAAGAGATTATAAAGACAAGTCTCTGCCATCTTGCCAAAACATAAAAGTGAGAGCACCTCTGGTGGACAGCAGTGATGGAAGAGTTCCTCTGAATTAAGCCCAAAAAATAACGGAGTGACTCAGTGGTGAATCAGATCCTAAATATTTACTAAAACTATGAGAACTTGCAGCTTGACAAATCCCAGCCAACTCTTGCTCAGCTTTCAATGGAAAAATATGACAATTGCTTTTAGCGCCAGGAAAAAAAAAAAAAAGATTCATTTCTTCCTTTCATTTCCCCTTGCTTCCCTGCCCATATTGATCTGAATGGGCTGAAGGCAACACTTGGCTCTCAGAGCAGAGGATCGATCCACAGGACAGAGGGAATGGGGTGGAACGAGGGCTCCTGGAGCAAGGCCACCTCTCAGCACTCCAATGTGGATGTGCATACCATCCTCCCTCTAGGAAAAACTTAAACCTCAATAAAAAGCAAAACATTCAAACTTTCCTAACTTCAGGTATGCCATAAAGCAGCTTCCTAGCAGCAGCAATTAAGTAAATTAATTCAGTAAAAAAAGCTTACTTCCACTGAAGAATTAAGAATAATGAAAAAAGGGATAATTTTTCATCCTACTCTTGTGGTGTTGTTACTTTTATACCTCTCATTACTCACAGTCCTTCCAGTACCTGAAACAGCCTGCAGGAAACTGGGGAAGAACTGAACCTGAAAGGCAGAGTAATGATGGGGCAAGGATAATGGCATTAAACTAAGAGAGAGGAGTCTTAGGTTAGATATAGAGACAAAAGCCTTTATTCAGAGGGTGGTGAGGCACCAGCTGCCCAGATAAACTGTGGATGCCCCATCCCTGGAAGCACTTAAGGCCGTGAGCAGCCTGATCTGGTGGAAGGAAGATCATACAAGGTCCCTTCCAACCCAAACCATCCTATGATTCAAAATATTCTGCTGCAGATAGCATATGCTCCATGCTGCATTGTAAGTACAGTGAGCAGTGCAGCTGCACGCAGTACTTCACTGAAAGCAATCAGACAAAACCCATTTCCAAAGAGACTTATTTTAGATGTCCTGCAGTGACATCACATCAAGCCTTTTGACTGAGGCCGTTAGAAGAAAGGCACGTGATGGAAAAGGTTGAATGAATGAGAGTCCCACAACAAACCTATAGCAGAAATGTTTTCCAACCATAGGAATCAGCAAGGGAAGAGCCACAGGCAGGCACCACTTCACAGCCTTCTCAACCACAGCCATGGTGATATCAGTGAGGAGAAAATAATCTCCAGACACATCATGGCTATTGAAGACTTCGATTACACAGTGTTCCTAAGCTTACTTCTGAGCTGTGTTCTTCTTTAAGTACTGATTTTTCATTTTCCCAAGTAGCCTCCAAGAAGCAAAACCACAAAGGATTAAATGGAAATTATTTTATAGCAACGATTTCCTTTTAGAACATGCGTTCGGGCAAGCCCGAGAGTATAGTCTGCTGATTAGTCCTTCTCAGTTCTTCTATCCAGCAATTGCATCTAGCATTTGTTTCCTCTGAATACACAATTCAGATTGCAGTAATGCACCAAACATCCAACAACAAAGCCTGCTTTCTTCTTTTTTTTTTTTCTCTTTTCAAATAAGGAGCAAATTGACTGTAATTTCTCCACATCATCTTGATTAGTTTTGCCAGAATTATTTGATTTTGGAGGGGAAAGTAGCTGCCTTAAGACAAAGTGGCAGTTGGTTTTCACAGATTACTGCAGAGAGCTTTCTAGTTTAAGTATTGCAATGGTAGGTGTCAAGTCCTAAATCCCCATATTTATCATTGCTGTTTCCTTCCATGCAGGGGACCACGCCAAAGAGCATAGGAGGTATAACAGGAGGACAGCCAAAGGCTGCAGTAATAAGTCACCCTATAATAGAATGGCTTGGATTGAAAGGGACCTCAAGGATCATCAAGCTCCAACCCCCACTCTACATGCAGGGCCACCAACCTCCCCATTTAATACTAGACCAGCCTGCCCAGGGCTCCATCCAACCTGCCCTTGACCACCTCTAGGGATGGGACATCCACAGCCTCTCTGGGCAGCCTGTTCCAGCACCTTACCACTCTCTCTGTAAAGAACTTCCCCCTGACATCCAACCTAAATCTTCCCTCCTTGACCATCTCACCAACCTGCCTGCCCAAGATGGGGTTGTGTTTGTGCTCAGAGCTCAGCCATCGCATATGGCAGCCTCTACCCAGACCGAAAATGGCACACAGCCTCATGCATGTCTAATGATGGGAAAAAATAAAACCTGAAAGTGTCAGGCAAAGTCACCCAATGGGTTCATGACACTGCCTTATTTGTGACGTTGTTTATTTTGTTCACACAAATTCATCCCTCAACTTTCCTGCGAGCAGGAACATAGAATAGTGAAGAGAGTACCTCACTACATCACTTCAAATTGCCATAAATTCCTATCACACACTCAATTTTCATTCTGCCACCCCAAAATAATTCTTTTTTCTTGCAGCAGGTGTTGGAGAAAAAAAATAATCAGGGTGCTTTCTCTCCCAATTAGGCAACCGGATGCTTTTTGAGTGGTTATGCTGATACTGTTCATAAAGCCCCTTAAGAAAGCCACAGCTGTGCCTCATCCCTTAATAACTCAGCAGCTACATAACCAGCAGAGACAGCTAGAGAAAAGAAAGCCTTTCTGGGCTTCCCCTACAGAGGTCCTATACTTCCATCCCACATTTTCACCACTCTGGTCACATGGGTTTACCTCTTCCTGATGAAGCACTGACGACTTACCGCATGATTCAAAGATGCTTACAATGAGCGCTGTGACCTGTTGCTGGAGGAGGTCAGTGGCTCAATGTCTGGATGGAGATTGGTGACAAGTGCTATACCCTCAGGGATCAATCCATGCAGAATCTCCCCTACGAGGACAGGCTGAGAGCTAGGCTGGAAAAGAGAAGGCTCTAGGGAGACCTGAGGACAGCCTTTCATTATCTAAAGGGGGTACTGAAAGAAAGAAGGGGACGCTCTTTGGCAGGATCTGTTGCTACAGGACAATGGGAAATGGTCTAAAACTGAAAGAGGAGAAGTTTAGACCAAATATAAGGAAGAAGTATTTTACAGTAAGGGCAGTGAGGCACTGGCACAGGCTGTCCAGAGATATGGTGGAAGCCCCATCCCTGGAGATGTTCAAGGTCAGGCTGAACATGGCTCTGAGCACCCAATCTAGTGTAGGTGTCCCCGTTCATTGCAGGGGAGTTGGACCAGTTAGCCTTTAATGGTCCCTTCCTACACAAAAGATTCTATGATTCTAGGAGTATTTCTGCACAAAGATATCCCTTGGAAGGAAAATGCACTTCTAGTGCTCATCTGTTAGAAAACAAACAAACAAACAAAGCAGTGAGAGCTGAGGATGGAGCATCAGCTGGGCTTGAGAAAAATCTCCAGGTTAAGTGTTAAGAAGGTCACACCTTAGAGTAATTCTTTTCCCAGAAGAAGCTTGGCAAAATGTTCCAACTCTAAATTAGTCAAATAATTGCTCTCTCCCGTGTCTGTCTGCATTCCTTAATGAAACATTCATTTAAGGGTGATAGAGATAGGTTTGCAGATGCAACTAATGGAAAATCACTGAGATTGATGCTGCTGACATCAAGCAACTTAATAGAGCAGCATTTTTCACTTGGAGTAAAAGAATGAAGGAATTTTGAGACTGTTTATTATGCTCTATATCCTCTATACTCCCTAAAGAAGCAGAATTTATGATTTCAGGAAGGTATTCAATCTGTATAAACCACTCGTGTTCTTTCCTATCTGTTCACTGCTGCTGAGAGGGTTGCACTTGGTGTCAGTAAGGCAGTGTTTTAAGATGTGAAACTGGAACAAAGTGGTTGTCACTCTCTACACCATTCCTTGTTCCAGTATGAAAACCCAATCACTGCAAGTTGGAGCTTTATGCTTCCCTAACAGCATTTCAGCTCCCTTCCTCGCCCCCGCATCGGGCTTCCTCCAGCCCAGAGCTCACAGCTGCAGAAACACAGCCAGCATGCAAAGCAGAGCAGAGCAGCTCGGAGCTCCCGCCTCCAGATGGGTGACATCAGGAGACGCTGCTCTCCTCGGATGCTGGAGGTCACTGGAGACTGCTGATGGAGTAAGAGCAGGGAGACCCAAACGAATCCTACAGGCTAAGTGGTTTTCATCTGATATGTATATGTATGTGTGTGTACCTTATATTATATATACATATATGTATGTGTATATACACGCACACACACACACACAATACAAACATTTATTTAAATAACACATGCACTTTCCCCCTCTTACCAGTTTCGGGACAGCAAGAGTCTTTTTTGTTCATCACTGACAGCACATGCAAATAGAGGGGGAAAGAAAAGCTGCTGTGAAACCATAAAGCCCACAGCGGCAACACTTTGCTAAGCCATTTCTCTCCAATTCCAGCACCTTCTGCTGCTGTAAACGGTTTGCACAAGGAGCTGATGAAAATGCTGACCTGCTTCACTGCTCCCCTCCCATCTCAGCACTGCTTTCCCGAAACACAGATGCAGGCAGAGCTCCTCCAGGGGCAGAGCCCAGCTCAGAGCAGCAGCACTGGCAGCCAAAGTGCTCAGCAGCTGCCAGCTCTGGGGTGGGTGACTCACTGTTTTCCAGAGCAGGGGCACAGTTCTGCTTCTGTGGGGGGGGAATGCTGCCTGGAGGCAGGGGAGCACAAAACCACACCAATCTCCAGTGCACGAGTTTCTGACCTGCTTGGCAGGCAGGGTGCACATATGCATTTAAGTACGTACACAGATGCACACAGAATCATTTGAGTTGGAAGGGATGTCTAAAGGACACCTGGCCCAACTCCCCTGCAATGAAAAGGGACACCTACAGCTCAATCAGGCTGCTCAGAGCTGTGTCTGGCCTGACCTTGAATGTCTCCTTCCAGCTGCTGTTAAGCAAACCTCATTTCTCATCTCCACACCCCAAACCAACAGCAAAAGTTCGGCAGAAGTCTGGCTGGCTGGCTACTACACCAAAGGTTTCTTTCTCCTTAATTCTCCATACCTGATATTACACCTCTTGTCATAGATACCAGTCTCAGTGTGCTGAGGTCTCCTGTTTCTTTATTATCTTTTTTTATAGCTAAGTATTTCAGTTCACAATATTTTGCAACAGAATTGCTGAACCACAATGCTGGCAAGGGTACTCACGGCTGCCACCACTCAGATCCAACCGTTTATGAACCTCTCAGTTTTGTGGTCAAGCCATCTCTCACCTGCAGCATATGAAATGGCATCATTCAAGACTGCTTCATCATAGAAAAACACCAAAACTGCTTTCAGATTGAAAAAAAAAAAAAAAAAAAAAAAAAAAAAAGGAAAGTTGCATTAGCAACAGAACTGATTCCAGGTGAGCACCATCACCCATAGAATCATTTGAGTTGGAAGAGACCTTTGAAGGCCATCTGGTCCAACTCCCCTGCAATGAACAAGGACACCTACACTAGATCAGATGCTCAGAGCCCCATCCAACCTGACCTTGGGTGTCTCCAGGGACAGAACACCCACCACCTCTCTGGGCAACAAGCACCAAGGTCATGTGAGCCTGGAAGCATCATCCCATACTGGGGTGATGGGAACCACTGACTGGTGCTGCTGGAGGCAGCAGCTGCAGCTCTGCAGTGAGAAAAGCAGAAAAGGGGCCACGGGTTCAGAGCTGGGGCAACAATAAATAATGAAGCATGAGTGGCTCAGCAGTACGTCAGACAAAGGGGCGTACTGTCTCCTACGTGATGAGAACACAAACATGGGAGAGTTGCATGATATTTAGGGAAGAGGGGGGAGGGGCTTTCCCTTCCCTTTTCATTTTTTTTCTTTTTTTCTCATATTTCTGAGAAAGGAAAAACTCAGTGCTTACTTTAGAGCAGTTGTGCCTGGTAGCATGAATAACACCAGGACCAAGGAAGACATCAGACTATTTCTGTCGTTTTAACAGCCAAATCCCCACTTTTTGCAAAGGCCCTTGAAAGACCTCTGCAAGTGGCTGCAATTGTATCGCAGCCCTGCTGCATCAAAAAGGAACCAGCCAGTGTGCTCTGATTCCGGTTTCATAAAGTACTGAACCCACCTCCAGTTTGCATTTAAGTCCCATTAAAATCACTGTGATATAAGCTTGTATTTAAGCATTGCAGAAGGTGGGGCCATCGTCTTGTACTGGACTCTATAGAAGCTAGCCCCAGCATAAAGCAAAGCAAAGCCAAGCAACCCCTACATCCAAAGGGCATGGGAAAATCAGGGGTGCACACCAGAAGAGTGGGCAGATACCCAACAGATGCACACTGACAGCCCGAGCAGGATGAAGGAGGCATGGAGCAGCAGCTCAAATCATCACCTGCTGTGAGGCTTTGGGTACGTCAGCAGTTCCTCTTTTTATTTTTCCTGGCATTCATGGCAAAGGGAACTGTTCCTCTAATCCAACCCAGGAGAAGCTTGGCACCACCACTGCACCATTACTTGGCTTCAAGTGTCTCCCAGCATCAGGAGGTAAATCATAATTTACTTGCTTTTAAGCTAACGTTTACTTTCTATCAAATCTGTGTAATTAAGAGGCACCTTCTGATGCAGAACAGCCTTCAGCAGTTCTATTTCTGCTGATTCACCCTCCAATCCCAGTGGGCTCATGAGGCTGCTGGGAGCATTCCCTACACTGCTGCAGAGAAAAACCAAAATGTGACACAGCAGATCCCTGAGCCTTTCCCTCAGCAAAGCCCAGAGACGAGCCCCCCAGATCTGTTTTGTGTTTGTTACCAAGAATACCCAATGCCCTTCTCAGCTATAATAGAGCACTCAGAAAGCTCAGGAATCATAGAATGGTTTGAGTTGAAAGGGACCCTTAAAGGCCATCTGGTCCAACTTCCCTGCAATAAACAGGGACACTTACACTAGATCAGGTGCTCAGAGCCCCATCCAACCTGACCTTGAATGTCTCCAGAGACAGAGCTCCTACCATCTCTCTGGGCAACCTGTGCCAGTACCTCACCATCCTCATTGTAAAGCATTTTTTTTCTTATATCCAATTTAAACCTCCCCTGTTCTAGCTTGAGACCATTTCCAGCTCTCTTCCCTCCAGCCTCTGCAGGCAGGTTTCTCCAGCAGCAGTTAATGTGCGAAGAGAGAAGGAGAGCTGGCAGGTCTGCAGGAGGAGGCAGCCGCCCAATGAGCTGTGCCAGATATGGCATAAACCTACATCCTTCTCCAGGTCCCAGCTGCACCAGGCTGTGCTGGGCAGTGGTTTACGGGAAAGGAGTTGCCTTCAAAATAACTTCTTTCTTGGAAAAGAAGACTCAGCTCCTTGGCTTCAAGAACCAAGACTTCCTAACGTGGCTGGAAACCATCAGAAAACCCCATCCTGTTGGTGGTTGTCACAGCTGTTCAAAGTGAGGTCATCTTTGCTACCCTTCTTCACGTGTCATTCTCTCATTGGCTGTCACTGGTGCCACTCCTCTAACAGATTAGTGGCACTCTCCCACCAGGAGACAGCAAAAGGAGTTTGTCAGCAGGCTAATTACTGGTGATCACCACTGATCTCATAGAACTCAAGTTGTGTTGCCAGAGAGACAGGTGGAGGATCTGAGGTGTTACTCTTAGTTATCCTTCCCCCATTTTGTCCACCATTCTCTTTGCAGAACCCCTCAGACAAGTATGCATTGGGAAGGAGTAAGTTATTTTCTCAACGTTAACTTCTCTGAATTTATGCAGACAGATGGACACAAAGAAGATGGTACAGAAGAGGGCATAAAACCCAGTTATTGGCCATGTGGACAGACCCATAGAGCGAGGGATAATCACAATACCGAGTGGAGGATTCAGACTTCCAGGGTAAAGCACAATAAATCTCAGATTCTTGTTTTTCACATGTCTGGTAGAAGTTGTTTTACAAAGACTGGTGACATCGAGTCTGTCTGGGATGCAGGTAACTTGAAAGTAAAAAAGACATGACAGATCTCTGAAAGGACAGGAGCTACAGGAAGTCAGAAGAACAGCAGAGATTGGAAAATGAGAAACATTCATGTTTTGTTTACAGTGTCCAAGTCTGAGAAAATGGACTATTTACAGACAAGTTGTCTTTTTCTCCTGTCCTGCATAGCTTCTCTGCAAGAAGCAATGTAAACAACTGGTCTCTAAAGAAGCCAAAGGCAAGCAGGGCACCTTGCTTTCTACTGCCAAAGTCATTCTTCAGCTGAACATGGGACTTTTCCATTGCAGATGATTTTCAGTAAGAAGGGTTTGCTCTATAAAGGGAATTCAGGTGTTTTTTAATCAAGAGGATTAACACACAGCAAGAATCTGCTGCGGTTTTGTGGGCAAGGAAACCAGGATTGGGACACACTCGTATCTGCATTCCTTCCTTGCTGGAGAGACAAGTTTTTTCAAGCAAAACCAGATTTCTAAGCATTTTGTAAGTGATACTCCTAATTAAATCTTTCCTCATTTCCAGCTCCTGTCTTAGTTTTCATCTTTGCAAAAAGAGAAACCCAGGAGGATCTCCAACTGCATTTTAATTTTTCTGTTGTCAGAAACACTGCTGGCTTTCCTTATCTGGAAAGTAGACGCTGAACAAAAAACTCTCATCTTGCCTAGGAAAAACTATTTCTGTTTTGTTTCAGACAGTACCAAAAACCAAGTACTGAAAGTAACCATAACATGTGGAAGCACTTATGGACAAAGCACTTGAAAAAAAAAAAAAACCAAACAGCTAGATAAAGATTTGAAGCAAAAACGCTACTGGACCATCCATATCCACCCCATGTTTGCAAAGTAGTTGGACAAACTGATAGAGGGAAAAAAAAAAAACTGTGCCAAGGGAATCACTGGCAAAGGGCAAGAAACAAGCGGTCAGCCCTAAGCCACAAAGCATTAGCATGGAGAAAGCTAAGTTGTAAACACAGCTCCTGGGTGGTTGCCCTGGAAGTCAGCAGAGCTAGAGGTGGCCACAACCCACTGCAGCCTTTGAGCAGAGGCTCCCAGCTGACATTACCCAGAACTGGAGTTGATGCTACGCAGCGTTTCAGAAAATTATAACTTCAAGAGTCAAGCAGCTTCATTTTTCAAAAGCAACCTCCCAAAACCACTTAAAGCAAGGCTCATATCTTGTCTTACCTGGACATTTGCCCTGTTCAAAGGTTTGTACAGCAAACATTCCACGTTCCCCTCTCCCTCTAGGTAACCCACAGGGAAGGGCAGCCCTTCTCTTGCAAAGGATGGATGTAACACAACATGCAGCCTATAGACCTTGATGAGGGTGGCTTAATTACCACCAGCTGCCCCTTTTAGGGTAGAAATCACTGCAAAACCTGTGAAGAAAGTCTTCTGGCATCTCCTGCAAAGAGTGCTTACCTCTGTGCTGTGCATGTATCTCCAGCAGAGAGCTGGTATCATCCCACAGAAGGCCAGAGCAAAGCAGAAAAATGCCTGGGAAGAAAGAGAAAACCACCATCAGTTACAATAGGGGGAAAAAACATCCATTTGAAAACACCCTAGCAACATATTTAGTATGCTCACACGAGCAAGTCTGGTTAAAGCTAGAGCAGAGCATCACTGTCTCTTGGTGTGCTCTGTACTCCTGTTAGTTGTCAAGAGTGGGATGTGCATTGTGATTCTCCATCAGGAACCAGTGATTACAATGTGGCTATTTAAAGTGATTGACCACTCAGCTTCCTATGGGATGATTAACCTACATCTTCCCAAGGAATTTCATTCACTTAGCTAAGGGTTTCATGGTGGGGAAAAACTGCCTGGATAGTCCAAATATGCATACAACAGGCAGATGGAGAGCAGCCAGTGTTGGGGAAGGAGCTGGGATTCTCCTGACCCATGTCTCAGCACAGGCCACGCTGTGTCGTTCAGACAAAAGGATGACAGAAATATAACCAAAGCCACCAAATGATCCTGGAGAGCCCAAACAATGCAGCAGTGACACAGGAGGCGGCCGGACTCTGTCCTCCTCCCCAGGCATAGAGCTGGAAGTCAGGCATGCCGTCATGTTATTTGAACAAATCTAATCTCAAACAAAACCTGGACCTGATGTAAACACTGAGTGTCTGTTGTGACAGCTGGGCCAAGGGCTCTGATAACACACACACACACACACACACACACAGAAAAGTGGCTGTAAAATATTTGAAGACTAATTGGAGGTGTTTAAGAACCATAGAGATATGGCACTGAGGGACGTGGTCAGTGGGTATGGTGGGGATGGGTTGGTGGTTGGACTGCATGATCTTAGAGGTCTTCTCCAGCCTTAATGATTCCACGACTCTCTGAGCACTCCCCATATATGATTCCCTTTGCAAGTTTTTCCATGTTTCCTCTTCCAAAATGGAGTTATGTAGCAGAGCAGAGTCACCCATCTGATCATAGCTTATTCTATTTTTTCTCCCTATGAGTATTCCAATAGTATGACTTGGCTGAAACCTCTTAAAAATTAAATCACAGAATCACAGAATGGCCAGGATTGGAAGGGACCTCAAGAATCATGAATCTCCAGCCCCACTGCCACATGCAGGGCCACCAACCTCCCCATTTAATACCAGACCAGGCAGCCCAGGGCCCCATCCAATCTGTCTTTGAACAAATAAATCACAAAAGTTTATCGAATTCAAGCTTAAGGGAATAAAGAAGAGTAACTTTTGCTTTAGAGGTGTAGTTTTTCAGAGAAAGAAATAAGAAAGGAAAATAAAAAAGAAAGAAGCCCCAAAAACCTCCACATACTGCAAGAAAGGAAAACGTGTTGCATCAAATCCTGGAAATGAAACCAAAAATGCCAGCAAGATGAATAATCAAATTGTTCCTCACTGGAACCAGCCCTTGCATTCTGCTGCCTCTTTGCATGAACCCCTTAACAAACCACATAGGAAAGTCAATACTTCTACCTGATTTTAGATGAAAATCGGGCTTGAAAAACCAGAAAATTAAGGCAGGTTGAAAAACCTCACTGACAGCAATGGGAAAGATCTCCCATGTGAACCTGGACAGCATCGATGTGTCGCCACTGTGTTTCTCCCGCTGGCTCTCTCATCCTTCCAGCACTTGCACCATCACCGTCTGTGGCTCAGCTCCACCCCATCCCTCCAGTGTGTGCTCTCCCTTCTGCCTGCGGCTCTGGGAGCAGGGAGAGGCCCCTCGGGAGCCCACAGCCGGTGCAAAGCAATTACATGGCTCCCAGAGCATCTCATAAATGAATTATGGGCTGTACTCTCCTCTTGCCAGCCAAAAGGCTTTTGGAAGCGCAACTTTGTAATTACATTAGAAGGCATTTGGAGGAAAAAAAAATAAGGCAAAACAGGAAAGAAAGAAAGAAAGAAAGAAAGAAAGAAAGAAAGAAAGAAAGAAAGAAAGAAAGAAAGAAAGAAAGAAAGAAAGAAAGAAAGAAAGAAAGAAAGAAAGAAAGAAAGAAAGAAAGAAAGAAAGAAAGAAAGAAAGAAAGAAGGAAAGAAGGAA